AACAGACCCACCTGAAGTACAAGATGTCGGCACACTGCCTCCGCTGGTCAGACCCATGTCGAAGAGAGCCTTCGGCTGACAACTCTCGATTCTGTTAAAAATCAGGATTCCAAGTCTCTTGAATTTCCCTCATTTATAGTTGTAATTCGCTGATTCAGCGTGGACGACAAGGGGGTNAAGCTTCATTTTTCTCTAACATACTTTTATGCTTATAATCTTCTTAATCTTGACCAAATCTGTATCTGTCTTTATAATGTCCCATACTTTTTTAAAATAGAGTAAAGCTATTCCACATGTTTTTTTGTTTTTTTTTCCCCCCATTAATTGTCTGATGCTTCCAAATCTGTTGTGAATCTTTCCTACCTCTTGCCAGTGGTTTACTGGTGCTCATTTTCATGAGGCTGTGACCACATCAACAATGGTGTGTGTGTATGTAGCTCACTTCAAATTATAAGTGGATCTGTATGAGAAATACAGAATTTTTTCCCAGAAATATTTGTTTTTCCATGTCTAGAAATTAAACCTTATGGCTGCATATTTATTTAGTTATTCTTGGATTATTTAATGGAACTCTGGCTAAGTCAGATTATGTAGTGTTGAATGGTAGGATGAATAGTGAATGATGAATTGGAAAGAGTGTGAAGGGAACTGGCCATGGTGTAATTTTGCATATTGTCATCTTATGTCTGGAAGGACTGAGGAAAACCACACAAAAACTTAGTAAGAACCTCCCAGATATGAAGCAGTAGTGCTGACTACTTGACCATGACATCCAGTCATATAACAGCAGACAATGGGGCAATGATCATCCAACAGCTTATAGAAACCAAGGGGTCTGCATGTTGGAGTAATGTGTACGGACCCTTAATATATGCATAAAATAACAATATTTTGCTCTGAAATAACTTGTGGTAGCTCAGCCATTATAATGACTGACTGTGGGTTTGTACACCATAGTTCAAGTTTCACTTGCAGGTCAGTTTTCACTTCAGGATGGTTTCAGGTCCGTAAATGAGTGCATGAAGCTCTTGCCCATGAATTCAAGAGGGCATTCCACATATTCAGATGTCATGGTCGAGTGGGTGGCACTCGTGCTTCATATTAGATTTCATGATCAAATCTTGGCTGGCTGCCGTAACTGAGATGTTCACTGGTTTTCCTCGGTATCTTCAGGCGAGTGCTAGAACAATATTTCAGAGTTGACCATCTTTTCCAAATTATTATTTACTAATCAGCCTACCGTTCATTGCTGTATAATTTTAAAATACTTACTATGTTATTAGTCTGTACATACTCTTTCCTTGATACAGTGCTTAAGGCAAGTGTGCATGTAATGTTACCTCCATGCTCTTTGTGCCATATTGATCGGCTCAAAAGATACCTGTGCTTTCTGATACCTTCATTAACAAGCATGAATGAACTGTGAGGAAAGTTCATAGTATTGTGTTCTTTTCAGAATTTAAAGATGACCGAGAGACAGTGAGTGATGTAATTCTCACCTTGACAGCATTGATTGTGAGGAATGAATTTTGCGAGAAGGTGGACAAAGCCGGAGGCATAATATTCATTATGGATGTTTTTGTCAACTACCCTGCTAGTGAGGTAAAGGGAAGTCTGATTTACATATAATGCAAATGGGAGGTCTGCAATAACTAGATGAGCTGGAGTAGGTCAGTGGCCGACTACGTGCTGAACAACCAAGGTCTGATCAAAGTGACAGGAGGATTTTCTTTTCTGATGTGTGATCTTTTGGTTTCCTTTCCAATGAGTCTTAGGAGAAGGGCAGCTGAAGCTAGAAGCTGACTCACCTCTGCCTTATGTTCAGATCAGATTGTGTGGAGTATCATCTCCATACTCTGCATGCCCTCATGGTGCAGAATTTAGGCATAAGAGTAACTTCAGCGAGTGAATAGTCCATTGGGTGGAACAAGTTTGATATAAAATAAAGCCTTCATTTTAGCTACTACTAGACATCGTCAGAATGCGAAGCCAACACAACAGAGAAATTTTAGTCTCTTCACAATTTCTAATGGCACAAACCCCATCATGACAACGAATGTTTATCATGCTATGACTGACTTTAAATGACTTTAAAATTGCCTGGCACAAAATTAAAAATGAGCATCGAAACTTATTTGCCCAACCTTTTATGCACCATTTTCAAAGCAATTTTTATGAGTCTGCATTTTGTTTTGGCTTTTATCTAGTAGCCTTTTGGGAATTTCATTTTGTTACATTCTGCTTCCTTCTAATCTTCATAAAATTAAATGATTTTAGTTAAACTTTGAGCCAGAATCAGTTTGTAAGATTTGAGGTTTCCAAAGCGGTGACTATGAAGAAAGCAGTCTCCTGGGATGTGGCACCATGTCGCCACATCCCAGAAGACTGCTTTCTTCAGAATCAGTTTGTTCTCCAAGTCCAGACTTCTGTCAGGTGTTACTATTTGGCAACCAGGATAGTCAGTAAACATTTATCAAAATTTGTTATTGCTGTTTCTTTCCTTTAGGAACCAAGCCATCATATTTAAATTAAAGGTACTAAGTAATTAATCTAACGAAATCACAGATGTGACTGAATGATGTACTTTTTAGCATTTCTGTTCACTGACTGCAACATTCTTGATCACAATAGGCTTTACTCCAGTCATATAGAAATTAGAGACTGACTGGGTTCTTTTTTGACATTGTCGTTGCAGAAGCTGAATACGCTGTGCCTGAAGCTGGTGAAAGGGCTTGCAGGTAATGATGATGTAAAGGCTAGGATGGTGAAGCAAGGGATTGCACCCCTCATCGTATCAGCACTGCATCGGCATGAGGTATTGTAATAGTAATTCTGCCTCCTACCCTCATAGTAACTTCATTTATATAGCACTTAAGATGACTATATTTTAATATGCCCACTTTACACTGCATTTACAAGGAGATGTTTTATTTCCATTCTTTTTCAATTTTGCTTTAGAATACACCATTAGGCAGGTCCAAGGAAACAAAGAGGGATAGAAACTGGCTTCTGGCCTGTGCTGATGATATTAGTCATGTGGGAACATAAATACTCTTACCATAAAGGAAACCATAGTAGCTCTATTTGATGCTGATTTGCTCGTTTGTTTATTTGCCCTTTATGTAACAATGTTGTCAGTAGTTCAGACTATTTTGCATCAAGTGGTAGGATGATTATGGAATGATGAATTGCAATGGATGTGGAAGGAAGTTGTTGTGGCTGATTTCAAGACCATCTTAGTGGCCATCTGGAGAGACTGGGGGAAAGCACAAAAGAATCTCAGTCAGGATTGTCAATCCCCCAGCCAAGTGCATGTAAGTCAGAAGCATTGCCACCTGAACCAGTATATGGTGTGGTTTAGATGCTAGCAAGGAGACTGCTCAGGCAATAAATGAAGAGAAAACCAAGTATATATTGGTGCCCCATCAACAGAGTGCAGGAGAAAACCGTAATATAAAACTAAAGGTAAAGTTATCCTTGGGCTTATTTAACTAAGCCCCACACCATTAAGACATATGGCAGAGTGGAGGTATAGCTCCACCATTCTGAACCTCCACACTAGATGCAGGTGAGTGGTCAGCATCATGCACCTACCACCTTAACTTCAGGGAAACAGTGCCCAGTATCCACCGTACAGGAGACTGAGTGGATCAAACCAGTATAGCTAATGGCTTGTTTTGAAAATGTGACAAGATGGGGATGAAACTTAAAAGTCAAAATTGCACTTGTCAAGAAATTAAGAGCAGATTAATACTTTGTATTAATAATTGTATTATACTTTGACAAAACCTGGTGCTATGCTTACGATCCTGAATCAAGGCAACAATCAAGCCAGTGGAAGACTTCAAGTTCGCCTCGCCGCAAGAAAGCTCGCCAGGTGAAATCAAACATGAAAACAATGCTGATTGGTTTTTTCGATGTGAGAGGAGTTGTCCATTCAGAGTTTGTTCCGCAGGGTCAGACAGTTAACCAGGCTTTCTACTTGGAAGTTCTGAAAAGATTGCGCAACAGTTTGCGGCGGAAGCAGCCAGATTTGTGGCAGTCGGGTGACTGGTTTTTCCATCATGACAATGCCCCTGCTCACACAGCCCTGTCTGTACGACAATTCTTGACCAAATTCTTGACCCCTGTTCCTCACCCTCCATACTCACCCGACCTTGCCCCATGCAACTTTTTTTTGTTTCCTCGAATGAAAAGAGACATGAAAGGAAAGCGTTTTGCTGATATTGCTGAGGTGAAGGAAAACAACGACGGAGGCGCTGTCAAGCATCTCAAAAGATGAATTTAGACAATGTTTTGAAAAATGGAATAAAAGACTAGACAAGTGTATTAGTGTAAGTGGAGAGTAATTTGAAGGGGATTGAAGGTTTGTGCTTAAAATTGGAATAAATAAGTTTAAAAAAATTAAGTTCGGTTTCTTTTGGGTGCCCCCTCATATATTCATTAATAAACTTCATTACAAATAAGGAAAAACATTTTCAGATGAATGCGGATGTACACAGTGTTAGCACAAGACACAAACACTGTCTTCATAAACCAATTGCTAACCTCTCATGCTTTCAGAAAAGTGCATATTATGCTGGGATCAACATTTTTAATAACCTGCCATCTGATCTCAAAGGTCTTATGAATGAAAGAGCATGATTTAAAATAGCACTGAAACAATACTTATATACACATTCATTCTACTCTGTTGATGAATACTTATTGTCTAGAAAATAATTTATGTATCTTTAAATAGCCTTGTGTGTAGTCACTGTGTATTCTTGGTTTCTCTTGTGTGAGAACTCCATTGGGACTGTACATATGTCTTGTATTTATATTACATACCCCACATCCCACACTCATTTTGACTAACTTTGGATCAGTGTTGTAGGCAAGAATCTATGATGTAATAAAAAATTAGATACACTGTGTATATGTACAGATGGTTTACAACTCTTACACATTTTGGTCGTCTGTAGTCATAGGAACCTTGATGTAATGGCTAAGTGAAAAGAAATACCTCCCCCTCCACAAAAATTTCAAAGAAGTTGAAAAGAAAATTGTTATCCTTTTTAATATACTGTAACATGTTGTCGCGTATCGGGCGTATATCGCGACAAATAAATTCACGCCGTATTTTATATAGCAAATTTTATTTCACATTCGCACTTACAATCACCCAAATTACAGATTTACGATTACTGCTATCTGCAGTATCACAAATAGTACACTCCAAATGCCAGAATACAACTGACTAGTTGCTGGCTAACTCGGAACTAACTCGGAGGTAGCTCGAGGACTGACTCGTAGGTAGCTCCAGGACTGGCTGTGAATAGCCTTCGCTGCTCCTCATGTAGCCTCGATCGGACAATTGTCGTCTGGTCCGTGTTGCTAGCCACGCTGTCCGGAGTTGTTGACTGCTGCCTAGCAACCGCGCTATCCCTCGGTGATGTCACCGCTACGTTACCGTGCGGAGGAGGGGGAGGGGAGCGCTGACTCACCCGCTGTGTCACTGCTGGTGGGGGTGGGTTCTCCTTTGCGCAACATGTCACAATACCATCAGTGACAGCACATTTAGATTGGCTGTTTACCTGACATGTTTCAACATCCTTGGTGTCATCTTTAGGGGTGTTTTAAGCTACAAACAAAACGTTACTCAAGAGTATTGTCTTTCGAACATTTCAGGTGGGTAAAATTTTTTGTGGAGAACTGTCAAACATTACAGATATGGTTGCACATGTTTTAACCTTCTGTGTTTTTAGAGTTTTTTTGTAACTTGTCAAAGAGACTGTCTCCTTGCAATCAAATGGCAAGATGTTCAGATGTTTGTGATGTGCACATGCTAACCACAGCATATGGGGCACCTGTATAAAAGGATCCCTTGTGAAAACAGAACCACTGTCAGTAATGTCTCAAACCAAATTCAAGATTTGACCAACGTTGGTCATCATCAGCTGTTTAAAGAATTGTTGGTGAAAACTGCTGTGCATCCATTTCACGGTTCTAATATTTGATGTGTATTCCCATCTACGTGCTCATGTATTCCAAGGCCTTGTGTGGCTCTTCCTGTTGTGTTGTGTGTCCACAAACTCGCAATGTAGACACAAAACACAACACGAAGGGCCACTCAGCGCCTTGGAATACACGGGCACATATTTTCTGTGTGATTTGACCCAAGGCTGTATAATGAGGACCATTGAAACAGTCAGTCAGTTGTAAGAGAGTCGTGAGAACTTTGTTTGGATCCATTACCAAGCAATGGCTAGTGAAGACAGAAGACTTAGTGTGTGCTGTAGTGAGAAGCAGAGTGTGAAAATTAGTGTGAGCATTACAATTACATGTGAAAACTGCATAATGAAGAACTTCATAACTTGAACTCTTCTCCAAGTGTAATGAGAATGATGATGAGGATGAGATGGGCAGAGCATGTAGCACGTATGGGGACAAACAGGAATGCATATAGGATATTGGTGGGAAAGCCAGAAGGAAAGAGACCACTTGTCTTTCTTTTCATAGTTAAGTGGGAAGAACAAAAGCAGATGTAACGTATTTGCTAAACATAAATTTCTTGAGGAATATCATTTCATTGATGGTGTAATAAGGTTGTGGGAGGGGAATATATGCAGATCTAAATATCTTCCTTTCTAGTTGACTCTTTAGTAACATGACAGTTGAGTCACAATTGTTCATTCGTACATTCTTTCATCCAATCATTCATTCCATATGTCATGCTTTCATTCTCAAAAATGTTCCATATCTTCTCATTTTGTAAGGTTTATTAATTTGCTTTGTGGTATGTAATGAGTTGTGTTACAATTACAGACTTCTGCCGCACTTGTGGGCGCAGGCTGTACTGCTATTACTGCCTTGAGTTTACGAAGTCCTACTAACAGCAAAAGTCTGTATGATGCTGGTGCTCCAGAAGTTATTTTGCAAGGCATGAAGATTCATGTTAAAGATTCTTCTGTTCAGGTTTGTTATATGTTACATTGCTTAATCATAGTTTTAGTAGTCTTACCCTATTATTGTTACTGATTCCATGAAACTGTATATTAAACTGGCAGAAGATTGGGTAGCACTCCTGCTCTGTATTCAGAAGTCTAGGATTTAAATGTTGTGCCAGTGATCAGTTATCCTGACTAAGGTTTCTTGTGTTGGTTTCCTCAGTCTCCAAACCAATGTCAGGATGGTATATCAGATTAAGCCATAAAGGCTTCCTGCCACATCATTCTCATTCACTAATCATCCTTTGTTAGACACCATGTAAGCTTCAATATTTAACTAACCAACCAGCCAGTCCCATGGTGATGGTTCCTGCTCGAGAAGCTGCCAGTTGCTCAACTACTCAGGAATTTAAAAAACTCCGTGCACCTAATTGCACATTTAAAAACCATAAAAATTAACAAAGACGTGAGAATATGCTCATTTGACATAGAAAACTTGTACATGACAAGAATAGGAACTGCAGACATACTAAAATCCAAATCAGGTATCAATGAAAATAGACAAAAGGAAATAATACACATACCAAAATCAGTAATTGAACAAAATTATTCTAGTTTGAACAGAAACATTACAGTACTTCTTTTGGCTTATTTTGGACTTCACCCATCGTCTGGTATGTAAAAGACAAAAAAAACCACGACGTTACACTCATATGTTTTGCATCCTGTTGTTTTTGTGTGTCTACTAGGTAAATATATCTGTTGATCACAAGAATTTTATATTCAGTGAATAACTGATAGGCTCGAATGTCAATAAAATCAGTTTATTAAGGTCCTTTATGTGCTACATATTAATGACCAAAACATGTAACACATAAGGAACATCTTAATAAAAGAACTGATTTTATCAGAATTGGAACCTATCAATTATTCATGAAAGTGTAGGATTGATGTGATCGATGGTCAGATTTAAGTAACAGAAATATTACAATCAGATGGACTAGCTAAGGGCGCTCAAACATCAGCAGTATTAGCTGAATATACACGCTGTGTCCAGGATCCATTAGGACTCATTCTTTTAAATTTTCCCTGCAATGACATCTGTTGGTGAGTTGTGGCATTAAGATTCTTGAAGTTTCAGCTGTGGCTCTACTTTCATACCACAAGCATTGCTGCATCATGTGTTCTGACGCTCGTTGGAAAATGGCGGTTGAACAGAGAGCCAACATCAAATTCTGTTTTAAGTTAGGCAAAACAGCCGGAGAAACGTACAAAAGGATGAAAAGTGTGTACGGTAGTGATTGTTTGAGTCGCTCGAACATTTTTCAATGGTATACTATATTTCGTGATGGCAGGGAGGACATTGAAGACACTCCACGTGCATCAAAGCCGAGAAGAAGCCACACTGAAGAAAATGTGAAAAAAGTTACGGAAATCCTTGCATCAGACAGATGTGTTTCTGCAAGACTCATCGAGGAGCTTTTTTGAGAATACCAAAAAGTCCTGTGCATCAAATTTTGGCCAAAGATTTGGGCAAACGGAAGGTCTGTGTGGTTTGTGCCGCATGTGCTGTTGGGCAATGAAAAACATACCAGAGTGGAACACTGCAAAGAAATGTTACGGTCGGCCCAAAGTGTTACAAAATTTACAAAATCAATTGTTACTGGTGACAAGACATGGTGTTTGCAATATGAGCCTCTCACAAAGCGGCAGAGTGCAGCATGGTTGAGCCCAAAGAAGCCGAAACCAAAGAAAGTGTGCATGCAAAAGAGTCACGTAAGGACACTGCTACCCGTCTTCTTCGATTCCAAAAGAATCATTCACAAGGAATTTCTGCCAAAAGGTCCTATGGACACTATGTCCTTTAAATATTGTCCCTCCAAAATTGGATGGCGTCCCCTCCATCCACAACCTGAGGACACGCCATGTCGTGGTGACAGGGAGCCACCTAACAACATACAAGCAATTAGAAATAATAATAGTAATTGAAGGTGTTAAGCGGGTAATGTTCGTTAGTGATAGGATATCATATGCAGTATGCGCCAAAATATGCAATACTGAAACTCGCGCATCTCAAACGTGTATGTGCGTTTGTTGACGAGACATAGGTCCAGCCGTATGTGTTCCCAGTAGTGAAAAGGAAGTTGTGTTCTGCAGTTGTTGGAAATGGGTCTCTCGATGGAGGAAAAAGTATTCATAGTTGAGTATTATTTCCGCTCATATGGAAGTGGTCGCCAGACAACTTGTTTCCGTGGTTTTGAGCAGCCAGATGTTATCGTCCAGAAACCGCTACATAGTACACATGTGACGATGTGGTGTGCCGTCTCAGCAGACAGTATATTAGGCCCCTATTTCATTGAAGATGAGGAAGGCAATGTTCTTACCGTCACCCAAGAACGCTACAGGGACATAGTGATCAGACCATTTCTTCAGGGTTTGAGGAGGTTCTATCATGCAAGGGGCCTTCACATGAATAGACAATGGTATCAACAGGACGTCTTTTCATTTCAGTACTGTATCTTTTGGCGCGTACTATATAATACTAAAAGGTTGCTGGTGTTATATCGTTATGAATGTTCTTGCCTGAACAGAAGATAAAATTTATGACATACAGGACAGGTTCTATGAAGAACTGGAACATGTATTTGATAAATTCCTGAAGTGCCCTATGGAAATTTTGTTAGGAGATTTCAATGCCAAAGTAGGGAGGGAAGATATTTTTAAACCAACGATTGGGAATGAGAGTTTGTGTGAAATTAGTAATGATAATGAAGTTAGAGTGGTAAACTCTGCCACATCGAGAAATCTTACTGTCAAAAGTACAATGTTCCTGCATCGTAACATCCATAAATTGCAGACTAAATTGATGGAGTTTTTTTGTTTATATATTTGAAACGCTCTCCAGAATTATATGAAAATATATTTCATTGTTCCAGAAACAAGGCAGCTGGGCCATCCGAAACATTGTGTCCCATAACAAGATGTTGTGCCAAGGGTTTCTGAAACTAGGAGCCGAGGATATCCTAAGGACTGCTCTGAAGTTACATCGTGCTGAGTGTGATTATGATGCCAGAGCAGCTCTCAGAGACTTGGGTTGTGACACAGAACAGTTGTAACAATGATTAGAAAGTCTCTGTTCTGAATTTTGTTGAAGTGGCTTTGCAAGGACATTTAACAAGAATGAACTGCCTCTGTGGTCTAGTGGTCAGAGTTTCTGGCTAAAGATCCAGAGGTCTGTGTTTGATTTCCAGCACTACCAGATTTTTTCTAAGAAATAGTGGGTCTGGAGCAGGGTCCACTCAGCCTCGTGATGACAGTTGAGGAGCTATTTCAAGGAAAGAGCGGCTGTGTTCTAAAAACCCGAAATTAACGGCCATGGGGATTCGTTGCACTGACATGCGACACCCTCTATCTTCTAAAGCTGGCAATAACTTCGCTGACAAGCAGAGGTCACTCGGTTGGTATAGTTCGCTTGCGGACTAAAGCCATGGAGTTTTTTTTTTTGTGCTATATTTTTTATTTTATAATCAGCCATTTTTAACTTATATATATATAAGTTCAAAAATGTTAATAGTTTTTATTTTAGAAAGTTTGGGTTTCCAAGTTAAAAAAGGCTGATGTATATATATATATATTTATAAAATTTTTAAGTTAATTTTATAATGTTTATTAAACAAAATTAATTTTTTGTAGTTTAATTGATAACTTTTATTAAACCATTGCAACAGCACAGTACACATACAGAAAGTGTCATACATGTATTCCATCAATTTGCAAATTTCTGATAAAATGGATACAAGACTGTGTCTGAAATATCCATGAAGATGCATTGTCATCAGATAGCTATGTGCATCATCATGTCATCTTTAGGATGTTACTGGATTTTATATATTGTTAATATGTGATGGGAACTAGCACTGCTATACCAGAGATCTTGTTAAAGACACAGGACTTATTCAATAAGGCTGCTTATGATGTATCCTTAGAGAGATTTCAGACAATGTTTATAACTACATGATCCTCCTCTTATCACAGACAGGGACTGTGTTGCAGTCACTACAGTATAGTTCCATATGGTAGTGTGAGATAAGTACAAAGATCTGTGAAATCAGTGCTCAGTACAAATATTAGTCATCATTAGTCTAACCTATGACGCTGTAGAACAGGGATGTTTTGTGCTGTGGACCCCTTTGGCAGTCTGGTGAAGCCTATGGACCCCTTCTCAGAATTTTGTTTTTAAATGCATAAAATAAAATAATGGGATACTATAAAACAAATAGACACTTTCAACATTATAGAGAACCAAAACCTTTAAACATGTAGACACACAATATGCGTAGTAGCATAGGATTTGGATGAAAGTTTTTGCGACTGCAACAGCATCATGTGAATGCCCATTGCATCAGCTAAGCAGAATTGCTGCTGCTCCAGTAGAGAAGGCTTTTTGCATGCTAGAATTAGCAAAAACAAACTCTGTTACTGTCATACAGCAGCATTTTAGAACATGATATGGTAAGCCTCCATCTACAAGGCAGGGTATCTATGATTGAAGCAAGAAATTTCAGCACGCTGGTTGTTTATGCAAAGAGAAAACTTCTGGGAGACCACCTTTTTCAGAGGAAAAGGTGGCTCATGTTCGTGAGACCTACACATGTGGCCCTAAGAAGTCGACAACACGTGCAAGTTTAGAATTACATATTCCACAGCAGGCTGTGTGGAAAATTTTGCTGGAATGTTTAAAAATGTTTCTTTATAAACTACGGTTAATGCAAAGTTTAAGTAACAATGACATAATCGTACATCATTCTTTCGGCATGGACATGCAGCAGTGGAGTGAAGAAAATGATGCTTTCTTCGACTGGCTAATTGTCAGTGATGAGTAGACCTTCCACATTAGTGGGGGAAAAAAAAAACAAACACAACGTGCAGGTCTGGGGAACAGAAAACACGAGAGAAATGCTAGAGCATGTGTGGAATTCACTGAAAGTTAATGTCTTTTGTGCTGCATCCCGTGCAGAGGTGTATGGACCATTCTTTTTTCATGAGAACACAGCGACTAAGAATTTGTCTCAAAATGTTTAGTGAGTGGCTGCTGCCTCAACTGCAAGAAGACAGTGCAAACTTCATTTTCATCCAAGATGGAGTTCTGCTTCATTGGCACATGGAGTTCTGAAATTACCTGGATCAAAATCTGCCTCAACGTTGGATTGGCCGATCAACAGACCAGACCTACCCCAATAGTGATAACTGCCACAACAAACCTGATAGAGTTGCAAAAGGTCATTAAGAACGTGGAAAAGAAGTTTTTGAGTTCTGAAACATCAGGAATGGATCAAGGTAATCACTGCAGTCAGATCCCACCGTGATATCCAAAGCCTTCCTTACTTTACCTTTTACCCAAAGTCCCTAAAACCAATAAAGTCCGTAATACGCCACCTCCCTATGGACACCCCTGCACGAGATATCTCTGATGGACTGGTGGAGCTAGGATTCTGTACACAGAGATCTGGTTGTAAAAGTATTTATTTCCCAACCTATTTCTATTTTTGAACTGTGTTCAATATCACTAGTTGAGGATGAGGTTGTAGCACGAATGGGGAGGCGAGGAATGCATATAGGATATTGGTGGGAAAGCCAGAAGGAAAAAAGAGACTGCAGTACAAGAGATTTGGTTGTAGAAGTATTTATTGCTAGTAGCGAAGAAAGCATTGGAAGGGGGACGAGGGGGGGAGCACTCAAAATAGTTGCTAAGGTAGCATATATTCTTACCGATTGTGCTCTCGGCCCTGGAGGCCATTTTAAATTTAGTTCATGTAAGCTGCGTAGAGATGACAGCAGCATTGCACCAAGGTGGCGTGGCGGCCATGTTGCCAACCAATAACATGGGAGTTTCACGGTTCACGGTGTTGGTCCTGATCTGTGGTGACGGTGGTGATCGTGCTGACTATTTTCTGCGGTCTGATAGCGGCATATGAATGTATTGGAGATAGTAGGTTTCGGAGTTATAGTAGGTTTTTTTTTTTTGTAGGAATTAATAGTTATCTAACTCAGAAATTGCATTTAGCACAAACGCGTACGAGTGAATCGTGTTCAGAAAATGGCGTAAGTGTTCATGGAGGCAGAATGGGTTTTCCTGTCTAGAATTAATTTTCGTACACGTACCATGTTTATTCATATTTATTTCAGGGCGTCTCTTTTGACCAAACCAAAGTCTGAGATGACACCAGAGGAACTGGCAAAGCGTGAAGAAGAAGAGTTCAGTACTGGCCCTCTTTCTGTTCTTACACAGTCAGTAAAAAATAATACACAGGTAAAAGACTCATGTGATTAAGTTTTGGTAAATTAGTTTGAAATGTGACTGCATCAGATTTACTGTTGAACTTAGAAGCTTTGTCACAAGAATAATGAAGTTTCTTGCTGCAGAGAATTTGATTATACGTAGTTGTATTTGGAAATCGTTACCAGATGAATGCAGTTGTCAGCTTTACAGAATTTTAATTTTCATTATCTAGCTATGTTACATAAGAAATAAGCATTAATTTCGGTTTTGTTGTATGTCAATTGAAGTTTCGAGGAAAATTTTATCATGCAAAATATTCTGAAGTCAGAGTTTCATGTGTATATATATAAGGAAAAAATAATTGAGCACCAAAAATTGATTTTGCTCACTCCTGAGTTTTGTTTCTGTGTCCATTGTAATAGTTATGGTAAATCAGAAATCACTGTAACTTGGTAATGTAACGGCAGTGTTCTGTAACAGTTTTCAAGTAATGTATTCCAAATTTTCCATTATATTGTCTGTTCGGGACACATGCTTTCTGTTTTTGAATACACACTTGGTGCAAAGATTTTTTTTTATTGCTAGTGGGGTGGGACTAAGTCCCTTGTACTGCGGCTACTTCTGGCCTATTGTACCACATGCAAAGAAGTTGCATTCATCTCAGGGAAATAGATAAATCTGTATGTTGGCTAAGACGGCTATTGCTCAGGTCTGTGGTGAATAGTGTCAAATGCCTTCTAGAGCCCTGTTTCATTTTACATTACATTACATTCCATGGATCCAAAGTTAGTCAAAGTGACTGTAACATGTGGAATATGTCATATAGATACAAAACATATGTACAGTCCCAATGGAGTTCTCGCACAAGAGAAACCAAGAATACACAGTGACTACACACAAGGCTATTTAAAGATGTATAAGTTATTTTCTAGACAATACGTATTCATCAACAGAGTAAAATGAGTGTGTATTTAAGTATCGTTTCAGTGCTGATTTAAATTGTGCCTTTCCATTCATAAGACCTTTGAGATCAGATGGCAGGTTATTAAAAATGTTGATCCCAGCATAATATGCACTTTTCTGAAAGCTTGAGAGGTTAGTGATTGGTTTATGAAAATTGATTATTTTGAAACCACGTAAACATGTGATTAAAAACAACATCCAGTTTTATTTTTAAATTATAGTAGTCTTTAGCTGTGCAAAGAATAGTTGTGTCATCTGCAAACATAATAACTTCCAAAATTTTCGTCCATAATATGTAAGCAGTGTCCGTCTTTTAGTGCACTCAATTTTACTTGTTACTTCACAACATGTTTCGGCAACAGGATGCTAAAATACAACATTCCAAAATTTTACTTATTTATGCTTACTAGCTGTAACTATTATCAGTTACCTCTTTCTGCAGTATCTTGTTGTAAGAAGATTTCTCCATTTTCCTGAACTCTTTTTTGTTATAGTAGTCCTTTTTAATGATGGAATTATCATCATGGCTTTCATTATTTTGTCCATCAGCATAAATGCAAAATTTGTTCTGTAGAGATGGTGAGATGTTTCCTTGGATTGAAGTGATGCTGTTCTGAAATAAATTAAAAGTTATATAAAGTTAATTCTCTTGGGATTGGTGGATTTTTGGACTTTGTCATTCATCTGGTATTGTGATGGACAAAAACCCAATAATCCTAAGTGTTATACACCATTGTCAGGACCTTTTGAAATCAAGAAATAAGTTGGTCTCTATCTCCCATCTATAGAACACTGACTCCATCTTCTGTTTTATTGCGTTCAGTTTCGAGCCCTTTCCATTTTAGTCACTGCTTTTGTTTTAATTATTGTTCCCGTTGCCTAATTCTAGAGAGTAATTCCTTTGTGAGTGCATCTCTGCATCCACTGCTTTCGGGTGTCTGACTTAAAAATAAAAATCTCCATTTTCCATATTTCATCAGGTTTTGTTGGTCTGTTTGTTAACCCATCTGTACAAACTACATTACCACTGTGTAATAGCACTGAAAGTACAGTACTGGTAACAGTTGCTGAAAGTCTGTCCTTGGACATGATCCTGGGTCATCTCCATCTCTCATCCTCAGAACCGTCTTGTTGTTAACCTCTCATCTTCTTGGTCCATTATGTTGCTGTTGGGCGGTCAGCACTCCTGTTTTACGTACAGAAGGTATTGAGTTTAAATGTCAGTTCAGCTGTCATGACTGAAATTTTCATGGTTTTCATCAGACCTTCCATGTTCTTGAAAATGCAAGGATATTACAGTACTTGTTCATGCTAAGTTACATGCTATTGTCACTTCATGACTGTTGGTTAGGAACAGTCTACTTTTGACTGAGTTCTGCCATTTAATCCTGATAGAAATGTTGATTGGCTTGGGTCGAGTTCTGTTTATATAATCCCCTGAACTGATTCATGCTCACATGAATAGGTTTTGATCTCTGGTTTTGCTTCCTAATGAACAAGGCTGTGATAGTGTTGAACAGTGGTTAAGTGCTTAGTTACCGCTGTGAGTGGACATGGTTCAGTATTTTATATCAAATATTTTATATTTTTTAATGAATTGTATGTTAATTGTGGTTCTGGTGGTGGGCATCCCAGAGTTATTGTTGCAAGCACAAGAGAAATCTCCAAGCTTATGGATAAAGTCTGGTGTAGTGCATCTGCTTGGGGTAAGAAGCCCTTTAAAGAGTATGATGTGCTTGCAGAAGAGAGAGTGGATGAAATAGGGGCTCTGTTAGAATATTCATCACTGAGACATCCTCCTCAAAATAATCCACAGCAAACTGAACAGGTGGTTTAGCTGTAACACTGTGCTCATATTTGGGGAGCACTTCATTTGAATCAGGGCTGGACCACCAGCTTTCCTGACATGTTTTTTATAGTTTTCATCAGTCCTTTCAAGCGAATTCTGGGATAGTACTTCAATTAAGGCACAGTTGCCTCCTTCCAAAATCCTTTCCAGTATACCATCTGTCATCCTACTAATTGATGCTCTAATAGTCTAGCTGCTGATTGTAAAATAGCCCATGAAGCAAAGGTCAACAGCAAAAGTGATGGCATTAATATGAATATTATGTTTATTATCCATTGTCCTGTCTTTGTCTAAAAATATCGTCTTGTTTATTTTTCAAAACACCGCGTTTCAGAGACTGGATTCTGTTGCCGACTTCAGGTAAGACCTACCCAATTGGGCCCAATCGGTAGAGCTAGCCCCCATCTCCAGGCACCTGTGCCAGCACCAAGATGGGTTATACAAACCGAACATAGCACAAACCATCTGTGAGAGCTAAGAAAACGTTGAATTATTAAATTCTCAACACGTATGAGGCCTTGCACCAGAAAATTATCATGATGACATCTCTTTAACTCCGTCCATAGATGACAGTTTCATGAATTAATTGTGAAGAACCTTTTCATGTCAGCTTAAACCAGTTTAAATGATATATGCAGTGTGTATGTGTGGATAAAGGGCCAGCACTTTCATCACTGGATAAGTTACTGTCATTGCTTCTGTACTTTTTATGTCAGGACTAATCGATAGGATTTGAACAAAGATAACCTGTCACTGACTAGTAGTTGGGACATCTCAGATGCGCGTAACTTACAAGGAAGACACAGTGTCTTAAAGTAGGCCTTCCAATTCTTAATTCACAAATCATTCAACTATTTGACACTCAGAAATTGAAAATATGTGATTACAAGAAGGAATCATCCCTTCCTGATTTTTTAAGTGTCTGCTTTGGCAGAGCTTCATTCTTTGTCTCCAGCATTCTGTATACTTGAGCAGTCATCATACTTCCATAGATCTTGCTCCTTAACAGTACCAGGTGACTGTTATAAATTATGAGTTCCCATAAATTCCTGAATTGCCCATTTTTCATGCCTAGGTCCAAATGTTTTTGTGAGTAATTTGTTTCAAAGGAATATGAATATAAATAATATTAGCCATCTTGTGCTTCTCTTATCAAGGACAGAGGAATAAAATATAGTCTTGTTTTGTCAGAGTTTGGTCATCATTCCCCCTTGAAGTTTCTTTATTGTGGCATTATCAAGGCCTTTGCCTCATGTGTGAGAGTAATTTGCTGAAATGCATTTGTTTATATTTAGGACACTGTGACCCAATTTATGATTACTGCACTAGCTTTGCACCTGACCTAACATTAGTGCGGAAGTCTAAAATTGGTGTGCCAGATGGCAGGTAACAAACTGTGCTTTCCATTTGGCTAAGGGTTTGCCCAGCAGGTAGGAAATAGTAATAAATGGCTGTGTTGAAAAATACCGTATTTACGCATGTATAGGCCGCATGCGTGTATAGGCCGCAGCACAATTTTCACACAGAAATTATAGAAAAAATAATTTTCTTGGAATATTATTTCAGGAGTAGAACATCCTGTATTACTAATTATGAATTTTTTTTTTTTAATGAAGTGTGATTTCGAATATAAGCCGCACCCCAGTTTTCCTCTTGAATTTTTGGCAAAAAATGTGCGGCCTATACATGCGTAAATACGGTATGCAAACACAGGAGCTAGTATTGCATTACAGATGTTTCAGCACAGATGTGGAAACTGTTAAAACATTGGTGGACTTTGCATATGATGTATGAAATATGATCTGCATATGATTTACAGTTTCTGTCTGAGAATAATGAATAAAGCTTAAAAACGTTGATAATGTGATAATGACATTAAGAAGTCTCCAAATTATTGCAAAGTGGCTATAAAAATAAATTGAAAATTGAAATGAATATTGTAGCGTGTAGACCTGTTACTAGGTAGTGATTGCAAACAAACAGGTTCCCATGGCATTGATTCAACATAGAACAATGGAGGAACTGTTGGAAACTGTTTTCTACGGTCCACACCTCAGCCATTGCTACACAGTGGCGTAGTAAACATCTCTGCAGCAACAGCTGAACTACAACAATAGAAGAGCTGTTTTCTCTATGTGGTCTGTTCCGAGGTGTTATAAGCGGCTGTGAAATTGCCACCAGCCTCTTAGTCAGTTGAAGCACTGAGAGAATTGTAAGGGAGTTTGTGAAGAGAAGACTTGGTCAATGCAGTTGAAGAATCCCCACTATTAGAAGCCGTTACCAGAGAACGATTAGTGGAGACTGCAACAGACTTGAAAGTCTTGGCAGGTGCAGTAGCGTTTTGTAAAGTGTGGAAATCAGCAATGCCACTATAATTAAGTGTAGTCACGAGTTGTGTTTTAAAGTGGACAATAAATCCAATCCAAAGCCCTGTTGATAGTCACTCTAACATGTGACAATATTATTAATATTAAACATATTCAGAACAGTTAGGAGTATGGGGACAGAAATGTGCATAGTGGCATGGTTTGCAGTGTTCCCATTGTTTTTTTACAGGTATTGATCAACTGTCGGAACAACAAAAAACTTCTGGGACGGGTGAAGGCATTTGATAGGCATTGTAACATGGTGTTGGAAAATGTGAAGGAAATGTGGACTGAACTTCCACGAACTGGAAAAGGAAAGAAGAAAGTAAGTTTCTGGGATTATTATCTTTCTTTTTCTACTACATTTTCTACTTTTTCTACTGCACTGACCCCCTCTGCACACTGAACATCTAGTTCATTGTCCCCACAGTCCTCATATCATTCCTGTGCTTGGTTTGCCATGTCTCTTTGTAATTATCACAACAGTTCGTTTTCTTCCATGGTTATTTTACATCTTAAGGTCAAGTATATGTACAGAGTGTACCAAAATGAGTACTGGGATTTCAGGTACCTGTAGCTTAGGAATGTAGAGAGATATGAGGGTTCATAATATTGTAGCATCCTGTTGCACTGTGTCGATCTGGCTTTATGTTCTACTTCCTGTCATCTCTGTACAACTTCAGTTAATATTCACTCCTTTTCTCTCTATTGTATGTCACTACATGTTTTGGCCTAACCTGTCATCATCAGGTGTACAAGTTGTGATGAAGGAAAATGCTGCTCTGCTGTAATGTTCTGCTTTACTTTTGTGTAAGTGCCTCAGGCTATTGAGCCATGGACAGTAGTTCCTCAGGTAGGGTCCAAAAGTTGCAGCTCTCAAGTGGTGTAGAACTTTGTAGATTGTAAGAAGTCTCTTGGTGGGGCCTAATAGCCTGACTGTTAGGAAGAAGAATTGTGCAGGCTAGCAAAGAAGCGGATCAATAGAAAGACAGTTTCCTCAAAGAAACTGGGTCTTCAGTTGGAGGTGGGTCCAGTGGTTGGGGATGAACTGTCCCTGTCATTGAGTGACAGTGGGTGGCTGTAGACATCCCACTGTCAGCAATCCCATGGCTGAAGATCTTCATCTGGCACTGGAGGGCTCACATGTAGTCCCCTCTTCTGTTGAGAGAAAGCAGCCATCAGCTCATGAAGGTAAGACCAAAAGGAGTCTTTTGTTGGAGGTGAGTAACCTGTTGTCAAGGAGAAGAAATGTCTGACCAGCAGAAGAATCTGGTCAGAAAAATGTAAGGGCTTGCCTGGAGCTCAGTCGCTGGGACCATTGGTCGGGTGTGTCAGCTGTCCCTGTCAATGAGTGACAGAGGTTGTTGGAGGTGGGTCCAGTGGTTGGGGGTGAACTGTCCCTGTCATTGAGTGACAGTGGGTGGCTGTAGACATCCCACTGTCAGCAATCCCATGGCTGAAGATCTTCATCTGGCACTGGAGGGCTCACATGTAGTCCCCTCTTCTGTTGAGAGAAAGCAGCCATCAGCTCATGAAGGTAAGACCAAAAGGAGTCTTTTGTTGGAGGTGAGTAACCTGTTGTCAAGGAGAAGAAATGTCTGACCAGCAGAAGAATCTGGTCAGAAAAATGTAAGGGCTTGCCTGGAGCTCAGTCGCTGGGACCATTGGTCGGGTGTGTCAGCTGTCCCTATCAATGAGTGACAGAGGATGTCTGGGAAGTTCTGTTACCAGCAGCCCAAAAGAAGAGGACATTCTGTTTGCCCACTTTAGTTGAACATGGAGCTAACATTTTTGGCTGTGCGTTCATAGAGCTGCTTTGTCTCTTTAGAAATGGCTTATATTGTGATAGTACTCTGATGTTATAGACACTGGCTGTTAAATAATGCTTGGACATGGGTGCTAGGCCTTGTGTGTGGAGTTTCTTAATGCCCTTAATGTCTCTCTTAACTCTTGCTGTCTTGTGTTGGTGCTGGTGTCTGGGGATAGGGATTAGCTTTCTCAGTTGGGCCCAACTGAGCAGGTTTTCCACCTGATGATGGAGACACAATCCAGTCTCCAGAAATTGTGTTTTAAATAAAAACAAGATGATGGATAAAGTCCAAAAAGAACAATAATTGTATTTATCTTCTGTGTTACTTCCAGGCAAAACCAGTAAACAAGGACAGATTTATTTCCAAGATGTTTCTACGTGGTGATTCAGTCATCTTAGTCTTAAGAAACCCACTGGCAACTGCAGGTGCAAAATAATATCTGGAAATCGATCTTTACTCAATGAGCGTTTATGAAACAGTTTTGTTGAGACACACTGAAAACTTCTGGAATAAATATGATGTGTACACACATGGTATGTGAAAGCAAAATGGTTATCAGCAACATGTCAGTGATATTGGACATCAGAACACATTTGGAAACTTGTAGTGCCATCTCCTGACTGCATGGTAAACCATCACTGGAGGGTAGGTTTTAAGGTTTTCACGGCAGTGACTATGAAGAATGTCATCTTCTGGGATGTGGCGCCACGATACATTCCTCTGAAATGTCGGTTCACACAAGATCTACACAGCACCACATCTCAGAAGACTGCGTTGTTCATGACTGGAAAATTTGTTGATAGATGACCAAATGTCAGTAATACTTTGTATTTTATATTGAAGCATTAATAAAGTATTTGTATTGTATAATATCTTTTGTATCTGTATAGACACTCATTTTAAAGTCAGTACTTAGAATTGCATATCTTTAGTGTAGATAAGTGTTTGATGACCAAGACAAGGTGTTTCACCACATAAATTGATTTGTGGGATGTTGATGTTAGCTGAGACACCCACGTAAAACTATAATAAATGTTTATTGTTCTTAGAGTAGGTAGCATGTCTGAATAATACCAGTAGAGACTCCCTTCGTAGCGACTAGCTGGGTCTAGTGATGACGGTGCTATTGGAGGCCCCTAAAAGGGCCATTTGTCTCAAGCCTTTGCTGCAGCGAGGTAGCCAGTGCGGCATGCTTCCTTGCTGCAGCTCAGTGATTGTGAGCTGATGGGATAGTAGCAAGTCTGGCTCTGGCTGGCGGACCTGCGTGCGCTGGCAGGGCCAGCTTTGGTGCTGTCCTCTTGTTGAGAGCAGAGCTGTGTCTTATGATGTAAGCAAAGCTGTGACTGATGTGACTAGTGGGACTGATCCTAGTGTGTTGGAGGCCAGCATCTTTATACTCTTACCGCTGGACAGCACGCTAAAGAATGGACAGAGTTGCAGTTACAAGTGTTAATTGGGTAGCACTTGTATGGGTGTCCGGAGAGCCAGGTTGCAAACTGTTGTGTATAAATATTACCTGCTCCTGCTATGCTCTGGGAGTTGTCATCTATTAGGCTGTGGGTGGTTCCCACAGATTAATGGCAGTCTTTTCAAAATTTCTCAGGAAGAAATAATAATAATAATGATTTCACACATTTCTTGCATTTGCATTCTGTTACATAAATATTTTTATCTCATACTACTGCCATGTGAGATTTAGTAATGGTTTATTGTTATTATTATTATTATTATTATTAGTTGAGATATGCAGACTATGACCATGAAGACATATTTTCTGCTATTGTTACTGTTTGTAGCTCAAATGATATCATAATATAATATTTTCAAGGTCTTCTGCAGAGAGCAACATGACATCCAGGTGCTCTGCTACAGATAACAGTTTCAAAATCTTTGGCATATAGTAACTCGTTTTGATACCATGTTTTGTATTGTCTTTAACTTTGAAGGTTTAGGTCATGTGGCATGTTTCAGTTCAGATTTAGGCACATGAGAAATTAAATGAGGTAGCAGGCATTTCAGGAACAAAGAGAGGGAATATCTGAAAGACAAAGTTGATCAGGTTGCAACAGACAGTAAGAACAAAAACATTAGAGACATGTATAGAGGAATAAATGACTTCAAGAGGGGTTACCAAACTAGAAGTAACTTAGTAAAGGATGAGAATGGTAATCTGCTTGCAGATTCCCACAGCATTTTGATTAGGAGGAAGAACTACTTCTCTCAGTTATTAAATGTACATGAGGTCAGCGATGTTAGGCAGATATAAATACATACAGCTGAACCGTTAGTACCTGATCCTAGCCCTTGTGAGTTTGAAATTACTATTGCAAAATTGAAAAGATAAAAAATCGCTAGGTAATGATCAAATTCTGGCAGAACATATTCAAATAAGAGGTGAAATATTACGTTCTAAGATCCATAAGCTAATTAATTCTATTTGGAATAAGGAAAAATTTCCTGATCAGTGGAAGGAGTCTATTATTGTGCCAATTCACAAGAAGGGTGATAAAACTGACTGTAGTAATTATCATGGGATATCACTGCTATTGACTTCATACAAAATTTTATCCAATATTCTTCCTCAGGGTTAAGTCCACACATAGATGAAATTATTGGGGATCATCAGAGTAGGTTTCGACATACCAGATCAACTCCAGATCAGATCTTTTGCATTCATCAGATATTGGAGAAAAAATGGGAGTACGATGAGGCAGTACATCAGCTATTCATAGACTTCAAGAAAGCCTACGATTCAGTTAGGAGGGAAGTAAAGTAAAAGTAAAGCTATCGCTGTAACAGGCCATGAAGGCCCATAGGATTGTGAGACGTTGAGGGTCCCACATTGTCTAGACAATCGGCTCAAAGATGGCGGTAAGGTTGTCAGCCTTACATGCCACCCGCGCTTTACTCCCCAGGAAAATTATTTATTTAATTCCTGGTACTCATTTCTGTTAGAGGCTGAGTCAACCCCCAGGGCCATAGTGTGGCTGGAAGGATTAGGTCAATTGAAAAAATCCAGTAACCTCATTGGGACTTGAACCCACAACCTTCCGGCTTGTAGCATAGTGTCTCAACCAACTACCCTACCGCTTGCCCCTGAGTGGAGGGAAATATTGTACAATATTCTGAAAGAGTTTTGGATACCGATGAAACTAGTTAAGCTGATTACAATGTGTTTAAACGAAACATACAGAAAAGTTGGTATAGGTAAAGAGTTGTCTGATAAATTTCCTATCCAGAATTGTCTGAGATAAGGAGATGCTTTATCACCACTCCTTTTCAACTTTGCTTTAGAATATGCCATTAGGAAGGTCCAGGAAAACCAGGTGGGACTGAAATTAATGGGACCACATTAGCTGTTGGTCTCTGCCGATGATGTGAATCTACTGGGTGATGATATAGATGCCAACTTTTGTGGATAGAGGGTGTCACGTGGTCAGCGCAACGAATCCCCACGGCCATTAATTTCGGTTTTCTAGACCGGAGCCACTACTTCCTTCAAATAGCTCCTCAGTTGTGATCACAAGGCTGAGTGCACCCCATTCCAGACCCACTACTTCTCCGGAAACTTCGTAGCACTGGGAATCGAACCTGAGACCTCTGGATCTGTAGGCAGGAACTCTAACCACTAGACCACAAAAATAATTAAAGAAAATATGACAGTCTATACAAGGCAATAAATTAATAATAATAATAATACCCAAAAAAATAAAGTTGACATTAACAGGCGAGGAAAATAAAAAAAGTAAATTTCCAATGGTTATGCCACAGTGTGGCGAGAAACCAGTACATGTACATACACACACAACATTAAGAATATTAACAAATATTATTAACAATTTTAGGTTCAACGTGATTGACAGAAACTGTTCGATTAATAGTTACTATAGGATTCTGACGATGGTGTATAACACACTGATATATTGGGTTTCTGGACTTTATCCATTGTCCTGGTTTTTAAGATAACAAATAAAAACATGACGTTTCGGAAACGAGTGATTGAGGGTAGCTCTTTCTAACGGACCCAACAGAATAGGTGTTTCCCTTTTCCTTCACCTGAGGACGGAAATAGATCCAGTTTCCGAAACGTCGCGTTTTTATTTGTTATCTTAAAAACCAGGACGATGGATAAAGTCCAGAAACCCAATATATCAGTGTTCCAATTAATGTCGAGAACTTTAACCACTGCATTGGCAGCATAGGCACACCAAGCAGAAGGGCAGTGTTTATTACAGGGGCAAACACCAAACAATGAGAAGTCCCTAAGATTGCTGGGAGGAACACGAAGGCTAACATTTTCCAAAAGCAAAGCGCAGGATTTAAAACCACGACAGACCACGATATTTGGGAACAACGATAAAAAATCAAAACCTGATTCAGGAGGCCGCGCCATAGCTCAAGCGGTTAGTCGCTGGTTTTCCACTGCAGCAGCCCGGGTTCGATCCTGGGTCTGGTCAAGTGGGATTTGTGGTGGACAAAGTGGCACTGGAGCAGGTTTTCTCCGAGTATTTCAGTTTTCCCTGCCAATCTTCATTCCACCAATTGCTCCACAATCACCCTCACCTTTCATCTGGGGCTGGTACAATAGGCCAGAAGTGGCCGCAGTACAAGGGACTTAGTCCCACCCCACTAGCAATAAAAGAAATTACCCTTGCTAAGTAGAGGGAAGAGATAATACAAGTCCAGAAGTCAAGGAATCTCAACTGAAAGATAGGAAAAAAAAAAGAAAAAAGAAGAGAGTGAAAGTGAGAACTTGAGTGATTGTGATTGTGACCAGACAGTGGGTGTACACAAAAATATTATAGAGGGAAATGACATCAGTAATCAACGAAAGGTAATAGAAACAATCCTTGATCGGGAAAGAGATCATAGTAATAGAAGAAAAGTGAGACCACCTACCAGAAATGAGGATTATTTATGGAAGTAAAATCAAATAAGTCTTTTTTCAATAAGTTTAATTATACAAAATACTCTCTTAATTCTTGTACATCAAAATATCAGAGGTCTTGGTGTAAAATTGATGAATTGAAGTTAGCAGTTAGCAGTAATATGAATCCTCACTTAATATGCTTATCTGAGCATCTTATCTCCGACCACAAATTATACAGCAATTTCCAAAACTATGTATTGGGAACAAAGTATGCCCGTACGACTCATCAGGGAGGAGATGTTTTATAACCGTTTCACCGCACATTGCTGAGCCAATTTCTTCTCTCCATCCACTTTGTCTGTCCACTTACATTAACTGTCATCACCGGCCGCTGCCTGCTGGGCTGCTACTGGTGGCGGTGGCTACAGCTGACTTTACCGTGCTCCACTTATCATATTTACACACCTCTGATCTTTAGGATAATGGGTTTAGTTTGGGCGCTAGTAAACTGATAGTATCAGTTTACAGATGTGTGAAAGGGTTGAAGGACTGATAAGGAGCTGCTGTTGTGGGTAGCTAGTTCTGCCGGTAGAGCTAAGATACTGTTCTCAAGGTCGTGTGTCAGAGTCTTGCCCAGAAAGAGGAGTGGGAACTCCTGTTATAACACCCACACACATTTTCCCAAGACACTTTATTCCTACTAGGTTGATGATGACTGCCTTGGAAATACTTGGTTACTCTTGCTTATTAAGTTGAATATCACACTGACTGTCGTTCGAATCAACTTTCTTCCCCAGAATTATATAAATTTGGGCTGCTATCTGTGTGGAAATATTTTTTCCCATCATCCAGTTAGGTGCAATCAATGATGTATAAAACATTCCCTGTTTGGGTTATTTTCTAAAACAGTATGTGTATATTCAACAATCTTTATATACTTCATTGGTTGCTATTGAAAGTTCTAATTTCATTGTTGACACAAGAGGAATCCATCAAATCATGTCTATGTGGCACACTTAGTACAATGATATTAGTGTTGTTATTGTCCTTTATAAAATTTAGGATATGTTTTAAGGCTATATTGGAAGTATTCTTACTCACATCATTTAAACCACCACAGAACACAACTACTAAATTTTTAAATCTACTGTCACTCATCACAGATTTCACTAGCATCTCAGCACCTGCACGTGGTTTAATCAGACCAATTACTTCAAATTTGTTAGTCAGATGATTCTTCACCATCAATGGTTACCTCCTATAATTACAATTTTGTATTTGTTCATAATTGTAGTCCTATCATTGTAATTTTCACCGTTACATTATAACTGTACTTTCCAAATGGGACGGTGAACACGATAATATCAATAATACTCAGTAAGACAAAATGGATACTATCATATCAACATGCATTGTTGCAGTTCTTATTGCGACATGTTTCGACCTTTCTTTTCAGGTCGTCCTCAGACAATACACAACCACTAGTGTTAAGTCCTTGAACTGTGTCAAAGCATCAAATATGAATCCATATTTTAATATGGTTTCCTTGCGGAGTACAGGCCACATAGTTTGTTTATTTTAATAGAAATTAATTATTAAAATTAAAATTTTTACTAACATATTTAGAAGTTGCAATTAGAAATTAAAAATTATAAAAATATTAAAAGTGTTAAAATATATTAAACAATATTAAAAGAGATTATTTGGCGGCTAATTATTGGTCTGCTATGTTTTATTGTGATCAAGATGGTCGAACTGCTAGTGATGGGCTTGCTGTGCTGGGATCCTCCTCGATATTTTAAATAGTGGTTGATTTACACTCTTCTTCTTGTTATGTAAGATGTATCTCTAGTATTCTTCTTATTGCTATGTGAGGGCTATCCACATTGTTTTTAGTGGGAATCCAATTCCAGTAGATTTAGTGCAGGGCTGGGTATTTCATCGCTACTGTACTGTGTGTCTTTTGTGTCAACGATTCCATTCTACTGTTACTAAATTTTTCCATTGCTTAGCATCGTGGGTCCAAAGGTATCCTTTGTCGATAAACAACTGTTGCCTGTTGTCAGAATGAAGTAAAAATGGGTTTCTTCGTTGCCTCTTTCACTTCTTGTTTTTTTTTTTCTTTCTCGATCTTGAAGGTTATGTTGTAAGGTTGTTAGGTTACGACCTGCCCCAAGTTTACTTTACTTTGTCCACCACAAATCCCACTTGACCAGACCCGGGATCTAACCCGGGCCGCCGCGGTGGGAAGTCAGCGACTAACCGCTTGAGCTGCGGCGCGGCCTGGCATCTTCATTAAGTTGTAGATTTACTGTTACTTATGTATTCCCAACACGTCCTCACATTTTGGCCTTTCCAAAGTATTTCTATAATTGTGCTGAACTTAGCTCAAATAAAGAGCACAATAGACCACTGTAGGTCGCGGTGCAAGGGCCGAGAAGGCCTACCCCTCATACATTCATTCATAGCTCAAATAAAGCTTCTTTCAGCTGTAGTTCTAAGCATTTATCACACACAGAGCTTTTCTCGTTGACCTCTTTTCATTCAGAATGTTCCTATTATCAGCATTACTTGTTTCTTCTGCCGTACTGGACAATTAGCGGTCACAAATACAAATTTCAACACGATTCTTGTTTCAGCCCAAATTTGAATATTAATCTTAAAACTTATATAACTCAGAAGTTAAAAAACTGAAACTTAAAATTAAATTAAAATTTTGACGGTCTATGACGATGCATCGCGGAGCAAATGTACATAATAAACATATATTAATACAGTAATATTGATTTATTTATTGCGAATTTGTTGTGTTGACGGTTGTGAAATAGTACTCTTGCGTAACGCGTAGACGCGTTGCTAGGTAATGTCCCGTGCATAGGCAACGGAGGAACACGTCACGTATATGCTGTCGTTATGCAACAGTAGTAGTTTTCTGAGACGTTTTCTTCGTTTCTGCTGTGAGGCCTCCAAGGATATATAAATCGCGCGACGGAGTCGAGTTTAGTCCAGTACAGTCAGAACAGTTGAGTGGAGCTGTGTGAAGTGAAGAGTTTAGTTAACTTGGCAGACAGTCGCGGGAGTGAATACAGAAGTAAGAAAAATGTTTCGCAGAGCAGAAACACGAGAATTTAGCAATTTCTCTTGGTTTATACCACACTTGAGAACCTGGGGAAGAACTATAAGAAGAGTATATGAGGTAGTTAGTACAGCCTTCCCGGAGACTTCAAATATGGAAAATGAACAGCTGAGAGAAGAGCTAAGAACTTTTTCCTTGATGGCAGAGGAACTGGAAAAGGAGCTAAAAACCTTACGTAAGTTAATGGAAGATAATGTAGCTGAGAGAGGATACATGATGGAGAGAATCGATGATCTGGAAGAAATTGAGACTCCATTTCGTACTATTTCCACTGAACCTTTACGTAATGACAGCAGTAATGAGGGTGATGATAATGACGTGGATGATCCTGCTGAGGAAGGAGATATCACTGAACATGCATCATGGTACTGCACCGCGGGCCGTGAATTGATTGAAAGCAGCTGGAATCCTTACAGAGGGAATCATGAAAGAGCAGAAGAAAGATCAGGAGTTGGAACATCATCTACAACAGTGTCTCCTGCTGCTCGCTTGTCAGATGGCAGCACTGATGGACAGTCAGAAGTGTGTCCCATTTGCTTATGTGGATTTGCCGCCCAGGAGGTTGGGATACCAGAAGCTTGTGAACACAGGTTTTGTGCGGATTGTCTTCAAGAATGGATGAAGAATATTAACACTTGCCCAATAGATCGGCAGGTGTGTGATACAATTATTGTGCGACAATGTCTGGGGGGAGAAGTTATCAGAAGAATCCATGTGGAGGCACCAAGGCAACAGCAAGAACTAGTAGTTATAGATTATGTTACGCGTTGTGAGTTATGTGGTGACAACCGTTTTTATGACCTAATTCATTGTGATACATGTGGGCGAGGTTACCACCTGGAATGTATGTATCCAAGTTTGGACCTTGTGACTTTGGAGACTTTGGCGTCTCTGGATGAATGGTTCTGCAGTGATTGTTTATGGCTTTCACATCTAAGCTGATCTTTAAGAAGAACCGTCTTCGGGCTCTTGTAATCGGGTTTCACATCATCTTGCAGTGCATTTCACAGTATATGTTTGAGCATTTATGACCAATTATGTTGATAATATTCATTCATGGAATGAAAAGAATGATGATATAAAAACCTCTTCACTGTCGATTTAAAACTTATCACATCAGTAGCCAACATTTTTGTTGTTTGAGGAAGATGATTAAAAACTTTAATACCTGCTATGTACGCACATTTATTGTATTTTGTTACGTTAACTGTAGGTAAATATAAATTATCGAGGGCTCTAGTTTTGTATTTGTGAATCTCCTTGCTAAAATTAAATAAATGTGTATTATTAATTGTGTATAAAAGTAATGAACATAAGTACGGAGTGTATGATGTAATTATTTCCAAATTCTTAAAAATGTCCCTACAACACTCTTGGTCTAGAATTCATTATAATTCTAATAACTTTCTTTTGCAATATAAAAACTTTGTTAACACAAGAAGAGCCGCCCCCAAAAATTATACCATAACTTATGATAGAATGTATATGAGCTTAATTAACATTTAATTAATTCACTTAGTGGGGGGTGGAGTCCAACTGGGGCCACTCGGCACGGCGGCCACTGATTATCCTATTGTAGTCTGCCCCGGGTGATTATGATGATGGAGAATTTAGTGGAATGAAGATTGGTAAGGGAAACCGAAGTACTCGGAGAAAACCCTCCCCAGCGCCACTTTGTCCGCCACAAATCCCACTTGACCAGACCCGGTATCAAACCCGGGCCGCCGCGGTGGGAAGCCAACGACTAACCGCTTGAGCTATGACGCAGACCCAAACAAAGAGTAACTATTATCAATTCTAAGCTGAAGTGTATTCTCAAGCACGTTACTGTGTGCCCACGGGTCTAGATGTCGTTAGTGCACTATATTGTATTCCATTCCTCGCCGTACGTTCCGCTCGGGTTAAGTTGCCAGTCTACTGGTGTCCCGTGTCTCGTGGTGCTACCTGGCGAGCGAAAGGAGCAGGAAGGAGTGTTAGTAGAATTGTATGTAAGAGACGGGTTATAAAAACGATAAAAACTGTCCACGCACTGCGACCTGCGACTTTAAATGAGTGTTGTGGGCGTTGTGGTTTATGTTGGTAGAAAAATGGTGGGCGGGAAGGATATGACTGTATATATATGTTTCAAGTGTATGTCTATTTTACGTATTGAGCTTTTGTAAACCAGGATGAAAAAGGCACAGAAGGATAGCAATGAACTACCAACTTGCGAGTGGTATACAGATATGAATTTAAGTTTGGTGCCGTATTGGTTTCTGGCATTTCTGCGTGTAGTTATTACATTACTTCCACAGAATGGTTACATTCACCCAGACGAATATTTTCAGTCAGTGGAAATTGTTGCAGGTATGTTGTTAATGGAAGAGTAGAGTTTGTTTGCGTTTCATAGATGCTTCTTTGGTCGAAACCAAAGGATGCAGAATATGTCATAATACAAGTACAGAACTTTTTTCACGTTTAGAGGTACATAAAGTTTATGAATTATTTGTAAAGTACAGTCATAACAGAATAGGAGAGAGTTAAGAGGTACTTTGTTAATAGCAGGCTTGAATAGATTTATATCTTGATTTTTAAGCTTTTAATTGTGGGTGGAAGATTATTGAATAACTTGATACCTGTATACTCCTCGATTTTAGCAAGCCCAGCATTAGACATGTGAAGGTTGTATTTATATCTTTTGTTTAAATTGTGTACATCCATATTTCTTTCACATCTTTCCGAGTTTTTCACACAAATGATAATAAGCAGATTATATATTCACTTGCAAGTGGAAGTATATTAAATTTCCAAAACGATTTTCAACAAGAGATTATGCTACAATTAATATTTTGCTGGACATTATCCATCATCTTGTCTATTCTAAAAAACAGTCTAATTTCTATTAAAAACACAACGTTTCGGGAACTGGATTCTGTCCCCGTCTTCAGGTAAAACCTACTCAGTTNCTTAAGTATCTGTTGTCATGCGTGTTGCAACTGTACTCATGGATAAGCATGCAGACTGTAGTCTAGTGTGTTTCTTCCAATTTAAAGTTACTGTCAATTTGTAAGTTAAGGAATTTATTTGCATTTATTTTCTCAATTTATTATAAAAACTATGTTTAAACTAAGATATATCTTATTCTTAGTAGAAAATATTATGTAGTCGTTTTATCAAAATATGGTGCCATTTTCGTAGCTTAAACCATTGAAGTAACAAAGACATCGTGCATGATATTTTGAAAATATGTTATTTCTGGATATGCAATAATGATATTTTTATTCAAACTAAAGAGAATGATTTTGATTGAGAGTTCATAGTTCCAAGCAGATTATTGAAATTGTGGGGTTTTTGTCTTACCGTTACTTCAATGACAACCCACTTCTTCGGAACAGTTTGTAGGTCCTGAAAAGAACCGTTGGTTGCTGGGATGCTTGGCCGATGGAGTAGCACGCGCGCACCGGTAGGAAGGGATGTTGGTTGCAGTGTGTGGACTGGCCACACACTGCAATGCGGCAGATGGTGGAGGTTGCTTGATCGCTGTGCGGCAGCTGCTGGTGGAATTCTGGTTGTCGAGCGCGGTCGCTGGAGTGGAGAGGCAGTGGCTACGCCAGTTGCCCAGTGTGTCGGGCATGACTACCGGCAAATCGAGGTGGCCGAGTTGCCCAGTGAGTTGGGTGTGAGACCGCCGGACAGCCGAGGCAGTCGTGCCTGGCGCAGCGAAGTGCCGATGCCTCCGAAGACCGAGCGCTGGCGACGAAGCATGCTGATTGCTTGTAGATTGCTTGAAGACTGCTGATCGTAGACTGACTGATGACTGACTGACTTGGCAAGCTTGTGCTCCACCTTTTATACAATGCTTGGTGGGCGGAGCGAAACTTGAATTTGAGGAGCAACAATTTGCAGAGCGCTGATTGGCTAGTGAAAATGAGGAGCAGAAATTTGCAGGGAATGCTGCTATAAATATGAATGAGACGTCTGGCAATGCGATATTCACTAAGGGGCGAGTGTTGTCTAAAAGAACGGTGGAAACAGCGTGCTATGTGGGATGTCCCCACAATATATATGAGGAAAAGTAATGGGCCGAGTACTGAACCTAGTGTGACTGATTTACTGTGCCCCATTTTTCATTGCCTTGGGGGAATTTAATTTCTATTTTTTGCCTTCTGTTATTTACACAAGGCTTAAACCACTGTTCCCGCTGTATCTTAGATTCCATAAGATTTTGCTTCATTATTAATAATTTGTGAGCCTGGATAATGCAGTCAGTATAGTGACTGCCTGTTGAATCAATGACCGAGGGGTCAGAGATTAAGGCCTGGTGATGTCAAGAATTTTCACTGCTCCATATCATCCAGACCAGCTCTGGGGTGCACCCAACCTCCTATCCAGTGAGTACTGGGGGCTCTTTCCCTGGGGGTAAAGTGGCCATTGCTTGAAGCTGACCACTCACTTCCAGCTAGTGCTGAGGTCAAGAAAATGCAGATCTATACATCCACTCCCCCATACACCTTCATGGTATAGTGCTTAATTAGTTAAGCACAGGGACAACTTTGCCTTTGAGTAATAATGTGTTGTTTATACAATCAAATACTTTGGTGAGATCATTGGATATTCCACCTACATGCATTTTAATATTGAAGACACATATAAAAAGGTAAAGCTGTTCTTCTGCTTAATTATCTAAGCAGCATGCCATTAGGATGTCGTGGGAGGGGGGAGTGGAAGTATAGCTCCACTACCCATGACCTTTGTCCTAGATGGAGGCGAGTGGTCAGCTTGATGCCCCAGCTGCAATACCCCCAGGAAAAGAGCCCCTGGTGTCCATTGGATAGGAGGTTGAATGGGCCCCAGAGACAGTCTGCACATTATGGAGAAGAAAGAAATCTCTTGCCCCTGCCAGTAATTGAACCCCAGCTGTCCAGCTCATAGGTGCCATTCTATTAAAATAGGTAGCAATATGGTTAGGATCAGTGGCGGCTCGTAGCTAAAATTAGTTGGGATGCTGCTCCAGAAAATTTGTAGCCTTTGTTTTAAAATTGTATAAAAAGAAAATTTATTCAGAAACTTGATAAAATCCTAAAAGAACAAAATCAAACATTTTTTTACTTACTTTAACCTAAATTGTTACAGTTCAAGCTTAATCTATTCATTTAAAAATGAAATCCATTCTTCTTGTTTTAATTTGCGTGAAAAGATCAGTAATTTTCTCCTTGATCTCTGGATGACAACTGAGGAAAGTTTTCTCCATTGAAAGCACTGCAAGTGCATTTAGTCTTTCCGAATTCATAGTGCTTCTTAGAAAAGTTTTTATTCTTTTCAGTGTTGAAAAGCAGCGCTCTGCCTCTGATGTAGTCATGGGAACTGTCGAGGATTTTTATCAGTTTCGTAATTTCACTAAAAACATCATCTAGATTATTTTCCAAGATAAATTTCAGCAGCTCAATTAATGTGCAATATTCATGAATATCAGACCTACAATAGAATACTTTTAGTTCAGTTTCAAGCTTTTCTTTGTCAATCATGGGATATGCTTCAGTGGTCAGTACTATCTCTTCTGTGGGGGATTCATTCTTAAAACTAGTGAAGCATTTCTTGTTGAACAATTTAGCAGCTACTAAGTGTTTAGTGGAAGAATATCTGTCCATTATATCAACACATATACAGTCACACACTTCCTTAGCTTCTGCCATGAGTGTCTTTAAAGGATTCTCACAGTACTTTGAGTTTCTCAATTCTAAAATAGCAGTTTTGAAATTTGTTATATATTCATTAACTTTAAGCACACTAATTTCTCGAGATTGCATTTGGTTGTAAATTATTTCAACATGAGGCATAATCTGATGAAAAAACTCTAACCAAAACTTGAAATTATCATCATTCAGGTATTTTAAAATTCCTGTTGCTTCTGCAATGGTTTGATCTGCATTTGATGTTGACTGAATTTCAGTAAGGCAGTTTATTAAAGGTTGCAAATTTTCATGAACTCTGTTTATGGTCCGTATGTTGAAGTTCCACCTTGTAGAAGATGGACGTGGAATGCTGACTTCCATATGCTTCTTGAGAATGGACACACGTTGCGGTGATGTTGAGAAGAATGTTGGAATAGCCAGAATGTTAGAGAAAAATATTCTTGCGTTTCGTGTAATACTTGCTGCATTTCTCATTATTAAATTAAGTTGATGTGCATAACAGTGAATGAAATGTGCATTACTATAAACTGCTTTTATTTTTGCTTGAACTCCTGCTTTTTTGCCTTTCATGACATTTGCATCATCAAATGTCTGAGCTATCAGTTTTTGTCCTTTTCCTTGAAGGATTATGTCCAATTGTTCTAAAATACGTTTTGATATGCCATCTGTAGTTTGATTTTCTGGAATAAAGAATCCCCAGAAATGCTCAAATATATCTCCATTCAATACCTACCGTAGAACAAGGACCATTTGAGTGTATTCCAAAATATCTGTTGTGTCATCAGCCATGACAGCTACAAAGGAAGCCTTCCTAATTTCTGTCCTTATCTCCTCATAGTATATTTGTGTCAGGCAGTCAAGTATCTCATTCTGAATGGTCTTAGAAACACCTTTGAAGACTGCGCTGGTTTCTAAGTGCTTCAAATCTGAATCTAATTTAGATGCAAAATTTACTAATCCTCTAAATACCCCTGGATTTATTGAATCATCTTTTTCATCATGTCCACGTAAGGGAGTTTGAAAGTTTCCACAAAAGAAAATGCAGTCTATTATTTTGGACAAAATTTCATGGTTCTTTTTAACTTTTATATTATGCTCATTGATGGAAAGTCTGTATGCCTCACTAAGTTTCTCCTTAATACTTACGGTTCCTAAAAGTGACAGTGAAACTACATTATCAACGTGCTTCTTTGACTTCTCATGCTTTTCAGTTTTTCTTTCATTTTGTTTATATTTCTAAAACCATCTTTTGTCCACGTTACATCACCCCCAAACAGCAAACAAGGGAAGCAAAACAGAGCATTTTTTACTTCACAGCCACAAAGCCAACTTTTCCGTTTGTACCATTCAGAATTAAAGCTACGAATATATTTCTTGTTCTTGTTTACGCCTGGCTGAGATATTAGAATATCAGGTGTTAAACGACCTCTTTTCTTAACTGCAACTTTCTCATGGAGAGACAGTTGTGAAAACTTAAGCTGTTGAAGTTCACTTACAGTCACAGAACTTATTTCTTGGGGATGCAAGGCCATGGTTAAAGTTTTATGTTAAATAAAAGAACCGAAAAAAAAATGAATCAAATAGAATAGCTGGAAGCAGGTTAATAATCTAATTCTACAATTAACTCACATTCAAGAATATGGTACACGGTTTTTAAGCACAACACACGTGGAGTAAAAAAAAAACTACCTTCCACCAGAATGCCAGGGTCGGCACTGCGGGAATGACAGTGCTCTCTCTCCCTTGCAGCCTCACGTGCAGCTTCCTATGTGCGCATGTGCACAACAGACAACAGTCAAGAAACACTTTGCCGCTGGAACTGTGAAGCGCACAGTTCCATACAAAGATTTGGCTACTGACATTAAGCTTAAGGATTATATATTGTATTGTACAAGTATAAAGAAAGAATTAAAGAAAAAAGGCCCCCATTATATAAATGTTATCAGTAATATCAAGTGGAAATTGGGGGTGCTGCAGTTCCACAGTGCCTATATAAGGCCGCCCCTGGTTCGGATCCTTTACACTATTATCATTTATCTTTATTGGAGGTCTTTCTTGTTTACCAATTTCCCTTTTTACAATTTTTGAAGCAGTTTTTACTCTATTGGACTCTCTTATCAGATTGAGTGTAGCTGGTCACTCAGCCACCTACAATGGCTACTGCCTAGAAGCAGAATCTACTGGCATTTTCTGTTGCTTGGTTTTATGATCCTCTCATTTATTGAACTGAACAACATATCTGCAAACATCTGAATGCACCTAGTCTAGATTGTACATAAATACAAATCATGCACATAACAGATCTAACTTGGCTAGTATATGTGTCCTTGCCAGAAAGCTCTGAAATGTGCTTTGTACAAATCAACCATAACCAAAACTAAGGAGAGAGAGAGTGCGTGTGTGTGTGTGTGTGTATTAGTTAACACAGTGTCTAGAAAATCACACCTGACTTGTAGGAGGATGAATTTCCTTAACCACTGTGAACTTGAAACTATCAAAGCACTGGAATAAAGGCAGATGAAAAAAATTACGCCAGTTGCAAAATGTGTTCCTGTGTTGAAATATAATGTGTGGTCGCCTTAGTTCAAGACAAAGTTACAGGATTTTTTTTTTTTTTTAGCACTGAGGCCACAAGCACTAGTAATGTCTTGATCATCATCATTACTGGCACGACAGCCCTTTGTGAGCCCTGGCCTTCCTCAGGATTCCTCGCCATTCTTCTCCATTCTCCATTAAATAGTTTATATAGCTCATGGTTATACCTCTTCCTCCATATTCCATTTTCTTCCACTGGTCCAAAGATATATCTCAGGATCCTCCTTTCAAATATACTTAACAGTCTTTCATCTGATCTTGACAGTGGCCAGGTCTCAGATGCATAAGATAGCACTGATCATATAAGTACTTTATACATCATAGTTTTGGTTTTCCTGGGTATTAGTTGGGATTTCAGGTGTTTCCTAAGACCATGGAGACATTTATTTGCCGCAAGTACACGCTTTTTNGCCAAAATTTGAACTAACTTATAGAATATGGCTCCCCTTGTGTTGATGCTTGCATCTCTTAACTGCCTTCTCTAATGCTATATTGAACAAAAGGCAGGCTAGGGAATTCCCTTGTCGAATTCCATTTCTAGTTATTATAGGGCTGGACAACATATTCTGAATCTTAATTTGGCATTGGGTCTTCCTCATAGTGGCTCTGACTAAGGCGATTAACTTCCGTGGAATGTGAATCTCTTCCATTGCCAGAAAAAGAATATCTCTATCTATGGAGTCATAGGCTGATTGGAAGTCAATGAAAAGATGATGTGTTTCAATTTGGAATTCGTTACACTTTTCAAGGACCTGGCGAATAGTGAAAATCTGATCATTAGTTGATCTTCCTTGACGAAACCCACATTAGTAATCCCCAATTATGCCTTCCACAAAGGGAGAGAGTCTGTTAAACAGAATGTTGGAAAATATTTTATATGCTATGCACAACAGACTAATTCCTCTATAATTAAAGCATATCATGACATCACCTTTCTTATGGATAGGGCGTACAATACTTAGGTTCCATTCCTCTGGGATTATTTCAGTTATCCATATCTTAACTATTAGCTGATGTAAGTGCTCAGCATATTCTGGGCCTGCAAATTTCACTAATTCTGCCATGATGAGATCCATTCCTGGAACTTTATTATTTTTCCATTGTTTAATAGCTTGTTCTACTTCTTTTATGGTCGGCGCTGGCTCTTCAGCCTCAAAATTTCCTTGATTCCAGTCTATGGTCATACCTTCCGATAATGTCTTGATATTGTGGAGAAATTCCTCCTATCTGCAGTTGGGAGATCACATTTTTCAGTGTACCACCTTTTTAAAACAGCAATGTTTGTGAGGCATACAATGATAAGTTTCCTGGGCAGTGAATAGATACACTTGGCCTCTGGGATCACACTTTATTTTGTGGGGTTGTATCAGAATTGCTGCTCTTTATGTACTGGGCAGGTGTCTGGCCAAGGTAGAAGAACTCATTCTAGCACTGGAGCTGTTGAAGCAGTAACGTCAGATGTGTTGAGGTGTATATGGATTTAAAATCATTTATTGGCTAGATATCTGCTATGCCATGAAAGGAAGGCAAATGGAATTTTACTGGCAAACTTGTTGAGTTAACCATCATTAAAAAAAGAAATAGAAGATGATGTTTATTTTTTTAAGTATGACTGAGGGTTAAGAAAATACAACCTTTTGAAATCCTGGAGTGACTTTCTTGACATCCTGTACACTGCCTCGTAACTCCATATAGTAACCTCTGTGCAGTTTATATTAGCAAACCTGTGTATCTGTCACTCATATGATGTCGTGGGAACTTTATACTTATTTACACGTAATTAACTGGTGCTGTGTCATGTGCTAAAATATTTGAGTGCTGTTAATGAGAGAAGGACCATTATTAAGAGATAATGTAACGATGTAATTGCTGTACATTTGCTTTGGTATCAGTTGTATATAACTCTTATGTAGTAGTAATGATCATGACTGGTAGGTGTAGTAAAAGGCCCTATCCACACTGTGATTTTGATTCGCTGTGACGACTTAAACATGGGCGTCCCCTTTCAGTGATTGAAATGACATTCCAAGACCAGATAATGTGCATTTTAAAGAAAGACAAAAGGATTAGTAGAGATATGGGTTAACATGATCTTTCTTTGAAGCTCCTATAGAACAGGAAGTTGATTTTATCTAAATTCTTAGGAATTTTGTTGGTGAATGGGTTTAAAATCAGTTGAACTGTGAGTGATATTTGTGATTGTCAGCACATTAAACAAAGTGAAACCGAAATGTTAAATGTATCTCTTCATGCTACCTGGTATTATTAGTTGGAAGTATGTTAGATCTCAAATAGAATTTAAGTTATTTCCACTTGCCAAGTTAATCTCATCAGAGTTTTGATAGCTTAGCGTTCGCAGAGTTAAAAGCAGTTCAAAGTTGATTAAGGACAGTGAATACCAGATTGTGAGCCAATTATTTGTAGATAATTTTATTCTTTGTTTTAAAACTTCACAATTTCTCTTACAATACAGTCCCATGTTGCTATTCTAATATTTCTTGTGTATTTACTTGCAGGTGACGTGTTTGATATTGACGTTACTCGTTCTTGGGAATTCAACGCTACTTTTCCAATTCGTAGTGTCACCTTTCCATACTTGATTGTTGGACTACCTTATTCACTTTTAAAATATGTAGCTCCATACTTATCACTGTGGTTTAACATCAGTGTCAAAACACCTTATATGCTGCTCATGTTGCCTCGACTCTTCGCTTGTTTGTTATCTTTTGTGTCAGACTATAGTATGTACAGGATTTGCCGTTTGTATAGTCAGAATTATCGAGCAAGGTTGTTGACTCTCGCCAGTTCATATGTTACTCTGGTGTATGGGACAAGGACCTTCTCCAACACCACTGAAATGGCACTTAATTCTCTACTCTTGTATGTGGTAGCCTACTGTATGCGTCATTCAGATCAGGTAAGAAGCACTACCGATCATATTTTAGCACTGCTAATACAGATGGTTGCTGTTATACTCATCCTCTGTTTTTGGGCGAATTTAATCCAAGTTTCCCTTGTGGTACTCTGTTGTTTTGTCTGCATGTGTCACTGACCACCAGTGCCAAAGGCTGAAGTTCAGTTCAATCTAGCATTTATTTCTCTGCTTGTGAAGCTGAACGCAAACCTCTTGACATTCAAAATGTGTATGAATTTTAATGGTATCATGTCTGCATGGTATCTGTATGTATAGGGGCCACATAAAATTGTGGATTCACTCTACCAGCCAGTATTCTCTCATTGGGAATGTAGCATAACCACTCACTTCACAAAGATTCATCAGTAATGTGTCTCGCTTGCATTTGGAAAGCACGTGGTATGAAACCTGGCTAGGGCTCATGTGTTGTGATTTAGGACTTTTATAGATTTCCATACAGAATTCAGGCAATACCTTCAAATAGTACATGACCTCATCCTCGCATATCCTCTCTGATTTGTGATTCACATTTGTCATACCATATCTCATTGGACACTCATAAGCCCAGTAGATTACACAGCACCGTAAAATAACCAGTATGTCACTGGAATAATGAAATCCATATCGCTGATCGGAGAACAAAAGAGTAAGTATAATTATAAAAGAAAGCCTACATAAGATCCAGTCAGATGTCCTTGCATCTATGTCTTCTCAGGACAGTTATAGGAGCTCACATGGGAATCTGAAACACAGATTATTTCAGAACTCCTTTAATGATATTCCAGTGGCAGAATATTCATGTTAATAATATTACTGTGTCTGACACTTTGAAAAAATATTGTGACATAATGGTTAATGTTTTAGACCATTTTGGATAAGAAACATATCTGGCAAATATTTACATGTATGGATTTAAACACATTTTAATCAGCCGAACTAGTTTCATATGTACCCCAAACTCTGTGAGAATATTGCACAGTACTTCCTTCCATGTGCCACTAATTACTATATTAAAATAATAAACTTTGTACACTGTGAAGTTTGTTTCCTTTCAGGTCATCCTTCAAGATGAGTACCTTAGTGACAAGTACAATGCTGCTGGGACTCCTGTCGAGAGAGTGAAATTTTACAAGTTACGAAGTTCTCTGCCACATCATTCATTAAGCTGTTGTCTTCTTGTTGCTACAGTCGCAGTTGCTGGAATCTTCATTCGACCCACTTTCCTTGCATTTGCCTTTCCACCTGTCTTCTTCTGGCTGCAGCGGGGTCTTGGTTCCAAAATAATTGGTCTTGGTGTTTTCCATCTTCGTATTCTGATATTTACACTCTCTGCCATCCCAGCAACAGTAATATTTATAGTCATTGACTCATTTTATTATGGCTACCTGACAGTTAATGAGATTTGTGAGTTTAAAATTGGTCTGGATAATTTTGTGGTGACTCCACTCAATTTCTTGAAGTATAACATGAACACTGACAATTTGTCCAAGCATGGCCTTCATCCAAGATACCTTCATTTCTTAGTGAATGTCCCATTGCTGTACAATGTCCTTGGACTTATGAGTCTTGGAGCTGTCCTTAGCTTAGTGTACAGGTGAGTGAAATGTAAACTTATCTCTTGCTGATAAATGTTTTTATTGATTTTCAATGTCATTTGACACTGGGTAGTCTCGTGGATTGTTGTGGTAATTGTGGAATGATTATGGTATCCAAAACTGGATGAGTCTGCTAAGAAGTTGTATGTAGGATAAAATGAATGTGTTTAAAATAGTAACTAAATATTGCCTGAAGGGAATTATAAAATATATCTGAATTAGGTAGGATCTGTCCATAGACTGATAAATATCTAGGTTGACCTTTACTGTGTTCAAAACAAACACCATTTTGGTTTTTCTTCAGAATGTTATGAATGTATATCACTTGGTAATATAAAAAAAATTCAGTTCGATACATTATAAGAAGCTTGAAAGTTTAGGATTAAAATTACTTATCTCATTGGAGCACTTTAACCTTTTCTGCTCCTCACTTTTGTATGAGTTAGAATTTGGGTACAGATTCAGTGGATTGAAAGGATATTTCATTATAGAAAAAATAACTATTATCAAACTATCAAATTCTTATATGCCCTTTTTTTTTTTTTAATTTTCAGAGGAGTACGACGCAAATGGAGTGATCTGCCACGAGTTCAGAGCATCATTGGATTAATGACATCATCATTCTTCATCCCCATACTTGTGCTCTCCATATTTCCACATCAAGAAGCCCGTTTCCTTATTCCTGTGACTCTTCCTGTCATTTTTCTTCACTCCCAAAGAATTCGCCATATCTCCAACACTGAACAGAGGTGTCATGAGAAAGGCACTGCATACAATATCACCTTCTCACGAGGCTCCAGAAGAAGCATGCTCCTGACACTATGGTATTTCATCAATTTAGTGCTTACTATTTTCTTCGGCTTTCTCCATCAAGGAGGCGTCTACTCTCTTTCTACTCATTTGGCAGCTGAAATGCGATTGAAACCACGGCTCACAGCGTTGCATTTGGTCACCAGCCATACATATTCTTTACCTCTCTTCTTTTTGCAGCAAACAAACTCCAGAAGATCACTCTTCAATAGACAGACAGGCAAGAGATATCACCTTGCTCGGCAGTTTTATTCATATGAAATGGGTTCAACACCGTTGGAAGTTGTTCATATGAAGTTGCACACATTACTGGAGATATGTGAATTAAAGAAAAATGAGAAACGATTGGACTATCGTTTGTACCTTGCTCTTCCAGCAAGTCTTATGGAAGAATTTTATGTAACTGCCTCCAATTTAACAGCGGACTTGGATTTTTCAGTTGAAAAAGTGTTTTATCCTCATGTATCTACTGAGGCCCTTCCAGATATATTTCATCTCTTATCAGATGAGTGTATGAACTATGATACTCAAACATACTGTGAGAGAGAGACATTGTATTTATCACCACTCAAATTTTTGTCGAGATTTGTGCAACAATTCGGTTTAACATTGATAAGAATACGGAGATAAAATGAAGATGCTTATAAGTTCAGTGAGTAAAAAAGCAAGACCTCATGGCATGAGTGAGAAGTCTGTTAGGAAATCTGGAAAGTTAAAATCTATTTTATTAATTATATAAGTCATAGATAGGCCTGAATGGCTTATTGAGGATATCAATGTATGTGAACACTTATATTTCCTAATTCAAATTTGAACCAGGCCTTTAATAAATCTTTAATTTCTAGCTAAATAACTCATCGAGGCAAGTCCTTGAGAAGCCGCCAGTCACTCAGCTGCTCAAGAATTTAGTAACATTTTGTACAACCTGAAGGTTCTTTACCATGTTCACGAGACCCTGCTGCTGAACCTTGTCCTGAAACAGATTGATCAACTCCACATTTTATTGTATAACTTTCATTTTATAATAATTTTATTGTATGTTTATGCCTTGCATTATTATAGTGTAACATAGTTGTCAAGTAACCAGCTCTAATGTCACATTGAAATGCAGTTCAATAGTGTGTGAGTCAAGCAACCATGTATTTTCCTGATGATGGCTTTAAATGCTGAAACATATAGTTAAGGTGATGTTGATAAAGATTGTTTCGTTGTTGTGTTACAATGGATCCCAATAAAGAATTTTATATAACACAACAGGATGCACCCAGTGAAAATCACCCAATCCTATTTCTCTAAAATCCATTTTAATATTATTTTCCATCTACATCTAGGTCTCCTTTTCTTTCCCTTGCATGCCACATTCCCTGCTGATCGCATCGTCCTTGATTTGCAGTTGTCTCCAATGTCATATCTTTTGTCCATCTTTGGTCCAACATTGTCCTCAGCATCCTGTTCTCAAAGACCCTCAGTCTGTATTCCTCCCTTAATGTCAACAGACCAAGTTTCACACCCGCATAAAACCACAGGCAAAATTTTGTTTTGTACTGATTTTTTACATTTGTAGACGGCAGACAAAATGACAAAATGTGTTTATTAATGTGGCCTAGCAATGACAGCCGCTGCTTGTTCCCCTATACTGGCTTTCAACCATCATGTCACATTACATACACAACGTATCACTAACAAACTCAACCCTTGTTTGTTACTGCTGATATGATTCTTTATGTACAGAAAGTCCTGCCTCTAATTCATGACTTTCATTCCTCTTTCCATAAAAAAAATATGTAATTGTCTGCTGGTTCAGTCTCACCCCTGTCCCATATGACCTGTACTTCCACGACATTAAACTTAGATATGCTTTTCTATTGTATTCCTTTTGCAGCTCTTGTCACTGAATGTGCCCTGTAGAGACATGTGTCAAATCCAATGTAATTTTTTTTGTGTGTGTCATTCCAAAGAATCTATTTAAGTCCTAGGCCCTGTGTAACAGTTCGTAACAGGCTCTATTTTATAGTGTGAAGTTGTTAGTTCCAGGCCCAACCCCTAAGCACAAGGACCTCCCATTTTTGGCTGTTGGCAACTGATTATTCAGTATGTTCACGGTTATCCTGAGGATGTCTCATCCATACACAACCTGGAGATGTGCCATGCCATGGTGACAGGGGACCCACTTACCTTGGAAGCTCTTAACTTAAAAAGAATATTTTTATCCACAAGGTAACTAACTCTGTAAACTCTGTTCATATTATTGTCATTAGAGGGATCCAGAATGGCTTGTCTCGTCATAAAAATTGTCTCCAAAAACAACTTATAATGCGAAAAGATAGAAAGTGTACAGATCTTGTCAGAAAAACTTCCAGTCCAACAATACAGAATGAAACATTCTTCAAAATTGTCATGTTGACCAGTAGTAGCCAAAATATGTAAAGGTTATTGTTTATATTGAACTTCTGGCAGTGATAGACCTACTTCTCTTTCATGTATTCACTCTTTCCCTCATTATAGTCATCTAAATTCAGTTTGAACCTGACCTCCATTTATTCAGATGGTCATGAGCCATTTCTTGTTCTTTGATTGACTGTTTCGAGTTTGGTGTTATTTTTCGGTATATTCTTATGCTATAATTCCCACAAGAATTTTTTAGACAATATGTTACAAGAAATATTAGGGCTGCACCATACCTCAGGCGGTTACTCGCTGGCTTCCAACCTCGGCAGCCCGGGTTCGATCCCGGGTCTGGTCAAGTGGGATTTGTGGTAGACAAAGTGGCGCTGGGGCAGGTTTTCTCCGAGTACTTCGGTTTCCCCTGCCAATCTTCATTCCACCAACTGTGCCACAATCACCCTCACCTATCATCTGGGGCTGGTACAGTAGGCCAAAAGTGGCTGCAGTACAAGGGACTTAATCCCACCCCACTAGTAATAAAAAAATAATAATACACGAAATCTTGCAGGTTTATAGTTGATTATCTTATTTGCATCGTGGTTATAATAATTAATATTAGAGGACATTTTTAACATTTTTCGAATGAAGCCTTTTTTATTGCAGTGTATTATTAATATAAGATTCTTATAGTTTATAATATTGAAAGTTAAAAGAAAGACCTGTGGGACATAAAATAGCTTTCTTTATTTGAATATATCGAAGAACCTAACAGATCAAAAACGTTTGAAGTTAATTGTTAGTAACGTGAAGAATTATAAATGGAGGAGTTCTGTGTTGGCCACTGCTAGCACTTGTGGATATGCATATTGATTTGATCTGCTATATATTTCTGTGTTTTATCTGGAAGGGCAAGGGATTCACCAGTAAGCGGACGAAGCTGCCGCTCAGGGTCGCAGTTTGCGAGGCGCTCCAATGTAATCGATCCCTGCCCGTAATTAATTCAAGTAACTGTGCAGTGATACCCATAGCCTCGGTCTTGGCTTAGTTCCAGATGGCCTTCTGGTGACAAAATACCTGTTCGGTCGTTACCTTCTAAAATATTTGCTTTGAAGTAGGGTTATTATTTGTCTGCCAAAGAAGGCGCCATCACTGACCGTAGTTGATTAAAATACCAGTCGCAAGATAATATTCTGGCATTTGGACGAAAGGGCCGCATACAGACAGAGAGGTGACAGTTGAAAGTTGACACGGGAAGGACCATGATGTAACAAAGGCGCGTGTGTTAACGAAGCATGGGCCTTCATTTCATAATAGAGAAAGATTTGCTATTTAAACATTCGTTTTATACTCATAATACCGTATGGGTGAGTTGTTTAATGAAATATCGACCTTCAGATTCTAACAATAATACCGGTGCAACCTCTCCACGCGTTTTGCAGATCACGACCTTCCCTTTGTTATTAGGCCGCAACACGTGTAACCCTCAGGGACAGGATTTCATTTCTACCCCGAGTTAAGCCCAGTAGTCAATTCATTGAACCCAAATGTCACTGCAACTTTTCAAATCGAGGAAGAAACAAACCACGAAAACGACGGACGAGAAAGATGATTTGGTATATGAGAGCGTTTTGAGAACTTACAACATTTACCATTAATCCGTCGTATTGCTTAATACAGTGGTTCCCGAACTGGGTGGCACGCAACAAGGGAACAAGAACTTCAGCTTATTATTATACCATCTAATTCAGAATTTGTAGAAGTCTGTAACAATAACGCTGGAGAACAGGTTTCTTTCCCAGTCCCTCGTAATATCAAGCTCGCTATGTCATACCCAATATTAATTCAATTCAATTCATGTTTATTTACGTGCAATAACTCAACAGCACAGTGGCCAATTACAAAGTTAGCACGAGTATATACAGAAAATAATTAAAACAAAATACAAGTATGACAAATAAATCTGTGAACATAAATCTAAAGAAGACTGAACTATATACATACATTTATGAAATATTACTAATGTTGCTAATACTGTTAGTAACTAAATACTAAGATAAGACACCTGTGAGTGATAGCATAAAATTAATAACAAGTCAATAAATTAAAACCAATTACATAAGAAAAATTAAAGTTAGCCGAGGTACACACATTTGTAGTGAAGTAAAACACTAATCAAGTAACACCGTAAAAGGTTCGGTACATAATAAAGACATCAGGACAAAAGCAAATTCGGTATTTTCGAAACATAGCGCACAAAACAGCAAATCACGCTTAACTCCGTAGTAGTACGATGGCAGGAGTTTCAATAGAAATAGCACGTGCAACAATCAAATTCAAAGACTGCCTAATCGTAAGACATACTTTAAAATCACATTTAACTGATTTTTTAAATTAATTTTATAAAGTAAATAAATATTAGTTCATAGTTCAGATTCGGAGATTTCCGAAACTCTTACTCCCACCACCATGAATTATACACACATGAGATGCCATAAATAACCCTGGATGCATTAGGCACCATCACAGCGGAACCAGCTGAAAGGGAGCTGGTATCTACGCATAACAAGTCACAACATACATAACACCTTTTATCAAGCGTGGGTATTGCATACATAGCATGTTACTGAAAGTTCTTCCTTTTGCACTGAATTTTCACAGAAAGAAAACAGCTAATAAACTAGATTAGACTGATCGAAATTTAATTTAGATGACTTATATAGCAAACCAAAATGCCTTGTATCAGAGGCTGATTCAGAGTCAAAGTTTTGTTACGCCCGACTATCAGTCGGTCAGTCTAGCTTGGTGTCAAGCGCCCATCTGGGGCTCAAGACAAGACTTTTATTACTGTCAGACATGTTGCTGGTTTGATTATGTGGGGCGGTCTCTCTGACGGGAGGACAGGTCTTTCGTTTACAGTTGCTGCTCAAGTCACATTGCGACTGACGGTCAGTCAGTAAGTCTTGAGGCTCATGACCAGATATTTGTTACTGTTTGACAGTTACGGTCTTGTTTTTGTGGGGCGCCCTCTCTGACGAGAGGACAGGTCTATCTTTTGTATATGATGCTGGCCATTGCCAGTGCAGTCTTTCTTGGGTCCAAGTCCCTTGGGACTCGCGACCATATTTTATTGTCTCAGATTTGAGACTTCCCTTTCCGTCGCTTCCTACAACTCGCAGGGCCACGGTGGAAGTATTCGACCGCGCCTTCACATGGGTTTCTCACAATAACTGCTCTCGAATTAGCTCTCGTTATGTAGCCTCGGGCCCAACCCCACAGAAAACACCGCTTCCAACAATTCTTCTATTATCACGTGTGCACATCCCTTGCTAAGGAAATATGTTTACCGAGCCATTGCCTAGGAATGGCCGTCCCTTCTGGTTTTGCTGTCCCGTTTTTCAGCAAACGTGCCACAATATAAACGAAATTAATCATTTTAAAATATTCTAACGTGTTATATGTCGTCCATCGCTGAGCAACGAAAACAATGGAAAGTATTCATGAATAAAAATATGTCCCCGATATCATAAATCAAACGAGGACCAATACGAAATAGCTGCAATTTTAAGAGAATTAGTAAGGGAAATAACTAAAACATTTCGAATTCTTGATCCAAGACGGGCAGCATGTAGTTTAAGATGGGGAAAGACGGTGTGGCCATCATATCGTGCATTTCTTGAAAATTTTACAAAAAACTAAGAACATGGAATGGGACAAATTAAAGAAAAATGTTTTCTGAAGGACTTGGTTTAATGATAGATATACTACATGATATTTCTATTTTGTCAGATTTTTTTTTGTAATCAAGAGCACGAAGTACCTTTACAACTGGCAAATTAATTAGAAGAGCTTAGAATTAGCTTACCAATAGTTAAAAGAGTATTCAGGCAATCATGAAAATCAGATGGCTTACACGATGTAAGCAGATGTCATTTAAAGCATGTGTTTTATAGCAAACACTGTCTAAGGAAAATTTTCAAGTGGAGGATTGATAAAAAAACATCAAAGTAAATAGAGGAACAGTATTATTAAATTCTATATGTATATTACGAAGAAAGAACACTATAAGAACATATTAGATGGTTCAGGTATTCAGTATGTATTCAATTTATTAGACTCTGAAACCTGAAACACGAAGGAAATGCTCTCCCGATGAAAGGAATGTGCAATTAAACTGAAATAATTTTGTAAAATTATAAAGTTTGATATTAATATCAACGATTCCACGAGTGTCGAAAATGAACTTCATCGTAATGGAGAAACTTCTAAACCAATAAAAATAGCCCAGACAATAAAGAAAACAGCACCCATCAGTTCAGCCAAAGCCAAGGGGGGCATATTCTCTGTTGAACAATCTATGTACAGATAAGCGGGCGCCTCTCTCCGTTAAATATATTAGTGACTTCACGACGATAGATTTAATTTGCCAGCCAATTGACTCCTTGGATTCTCAACCACACGGGACAACATGATTATGGAAAATGCCATTGCGTGCATGAAGCGAGAGTTCGGCTGCGAAGCGAAAAAATGCATTAAAACATGGAAATTCAATGAAAGTTGTCTGAAAATAAGAATTAAAGTTACAAATAAAGGGCGATTTCTCTTTTTCGATTGACAAATCTTTTTCCCTTCCAAATACGCTGTGAACCGTACGGTGAAAAATCAACAGCTCGCCGCTGGTGTTGGGTCCCATTCCGGGCCAAAGGGGAATTTCAGTAGCTAAGAACAATACCACAGATGACATTAAAATCGTCAAGAAGTTTTCCGAGTAACAACAACGGTTTTGAATAGTTCTGTATTCTGGAATATAACTCAGTGTAGTCCAATTTCTTTATTAAAACGTCGCAACACAACTATATTGAGGTCAGTGCCTAGTTTGGCTCTGCTACATGTTTCGGCTACCAAAAGCCATCCTCAGACAAATACATGGCCAACATATATACACCACTGAACTGTCGTGCTAGTAACATTGGATACAATAATATTAATTATATTAAAATACTTTGCGTAAAATTACAATAAATTATATTATATAAAACGAAAGTTATAGTATAAAACAAGATTAAAATTCTTCAAGTGATGCTTTACATCATCGACTCAGTCGTTGGTTTTTGTGATTTCGTTGTATTCCCACGGACAAATTGGAGTATTTTATATTTTGTGTATATATAATAAACTGTTTTGGATGCTCGTGATGTAGATGTAGTAATATTAATGTTAAGCTGAAAATAATATGAGAATAATAGTATTAAATGTTGTTATAATTAACAATTGATTTTGGTATTGAAGATACAGTGTATTATTTACTTACTATTTAATCGGTGCCTCATCTTACAAAGTACTGTCCGTTCTGTAGGTAATGTAGTCCGTTGAAAGTCAACCGACGTTTCGGAGGAATATATCAACTCCGTATTCAGAGTCAAAGAATAAGTGAGGCAAGAAACCAGCGTGAAGCAGTGTTTGCATGATGTACTGCTTGCTTCCTGCTTCACCCTGGTTTTCTGTTTAGCTTATTCAACCCTGGAGATGGAGCTGGCATGTTCCACTGAAGCGTCGGTTAACTTTTGGCGGACTACACGGCGTTATGTCCCAGAAGAGAAGACTCTTCGTAACAACCGCTGCGAGAACCTCAAATTCTACAAAAAAAAAAAAAAAGGCTTGTCAGTGTTTTCGTCTAACACGAGACACATGGGCAGACACGAAAATTTAACACGTAATATGCAGTGCAATTTATCAGGCTTCGTGGTTCGCATGTGGCCCACGGGCTGTAATTTGAATAGCTCTGCCTCTAGTGGGAGACGAAGTTTTACATCCACTCAAAGTAACGTGTAAAATTGTATTTTTGAAAGACATGAGGATGTAAAGGTAAAGTTAATCCTGGACACAATTAAATACCACTTCATGAAGATGCATGGGGAAGTGAAGGTATAGCTCCACTGTTCTTGACCTCAGCACTAGATAGAGGCAAGTCGCCAGCTTCACGCCCTGTCGCTTTTCCCGTGGGAAAGAGCCCCCGGTTCTCATTCTATAGATGGGTGGGTCCCAGAGCCGGTCTGAACGTTACGGAGAAATAAAAATTCGCTTGCTCCTGCCGATAATCGAACCCAAATTCTTCGGACGTCCAACATAGCTAAGTTGCTATACCGACTGAGCGTTCCCGGCTCCTACGTAAAGAAGTACTCATAAATATGAGGTGGTGACAGAGAAGATGTACCTTCCAGGCAAGTGCTGGGATGTTGCCTTAAAATAGGCCTTGTCCACTTCTATATCCTCAATTTTCCATTTGCATTTATCCTTTCACTAAATGCTGCATCATCTGTGCAGCTGAGACAGCGTCATTCAGTTAATTCAGAAACAGATGAAGAGTAAAATATGGAAGTTAGTGTATGAAAAGGTAAATGCTGTCTCCATACTCCCCTCAGAAAATATGTTTGGGTCAGCTATTAAAGAAGTCGGTATCCTCTTGACATTGAACCTTGCCCTGTATACTTCACACGGCACTAAAGTAGCCTGCTCTCCCCTCTGTACACTGCCTCTGTAATCACTATTTAAACAATTAGCATAATCACAGTTCACTTGTATGTTATATTTTTAGGGCAGTGTGCAATGAATTTTTTTTTCTAGTTGTGACACAGCTGATAGTGTTAGTAACAGATGTGTTCTGTACAGTGGTGGAGGCAGTTTTAAATTACTAAAGTGTTTAATTAGAGATAATATCATGTACTGCTTCACTTACACTTGTTAGTATGGGCATTGTGAGGGGCACCCAGTTTAAACTTTATATTGTACACACTTGTATGAGTTCATGTTTGTAAGTGTTCTATATTGGTAGTTTATCAGTGAAATATGGCTTCAGAAGAGAAACAGAGCATATCATTGTAAGTTGGGCAGCTATTTATTCATGATTCATCAGTTTCTCCTGCTTACTTTGATCATAGTTCAATGTCTTCAATGCAGTGTCCTGGGATAGTTAAATCCAGGAGATTAAAATGACCTTAATATATGGCTTGGAAAAAGGAAATAGGAAATATGTACAGAAATTCGGAGAAAACCCTTTGCAGAAAACAGCTACTTTGTGTACTGATATAGATATATGAGGATGACATTAATAATGATTCTGAGAAAATGGAGTTTGGTAATGTAAAGAGCTAAGGGCTTTCAAATTTCTGATATGTTAATGGTGCTGAAACTTTGGTTCTAATAATATACAAATAATTTAGTTATGTTAAATCTAACCGAATGTTGCAAGTATATGAGTAAAAATTTAATTAAACCTCATTATAAGCATTAATACTGAGAGTATGATGGTTCTCTAAGTTGTAACACTGTGTAGTTTAGGACATAGGTAACAATTTCAAAGGAAACTGCTGCCTCCAGCTTCTATTCTGAGGATGAGGCAGAAGATTCGCCTGAAATGGTGGGATCTACCTACCAAACTACAGAATATCACATCCCAGAAGATTATTCACTGTTGTGAGAACCTGAAATCTGACCCATTAATAATTTTCATTTAATACTGTTAGGGTGATTTAATCAAGGTTGTTGTGGGTGGGGAATGTGGAATACACTGAATATATAAGATGTGCATAAATAACTGAACTAACTGCATGGAACTGAGTCCTTCTTGAAACTCTGCCAGTCGATCAGCTATACAAGAAACTCCCAACAAATATATATAGAACCTCAATGCTGATTACTGTAATATTGTATTTCAGCATCCTGTTGCAGTGATATATTGTTTTACAAGTACTTTCTTCTTTAATTCAATTTTGTTTACAATTACCCCTTAACTTAAAATAACATTAAAATAAAAATTAAACTGCTACATTTTTTGGCCATACTTGGCCATTCTCAGGCAAATATTCATTTATTTTAAATTGCTGCACTGCATTTGTTCTAAAATAAAAATATTCCAATGGTATTCGATTTTCATCGATCACTCATTAAAATACATTTCCTTGAGAACATCATTCTTTATTTTTACTTACACTACCTTCTTCTTCTGGTGTCCATGTTGTTTTTGTGTTGTCTTGTGTAGCTCTATGAATATAGGTGTGACGTAACACGGACACCGCAAGAAGAAGGTGGTGCAAGTAAAGATAAAGTGTGATGTTCTCGAGCAAATATACTTCAGAGATGTAGGTGGAAATGAGAGGAAAATAAAATAGATCTTAGAGAAATAGGTTGTGGAGTATGGTGTGTTTCATTTCTGTCCAGATAAGGTCTAATTGCAGGATTTTGTGAATATGATGATGGGTTCTGGGTTCCATAAATATGGATAATTACTGATGAACTGGATAATTCAACTGCTCAAAAGAAGACTGTGTGCCATGAAATTAGTTAATCTGAAGAGCTGTCTCATCTGGATATAATACTGTATAGTCAGGTGAAAATCAGCCGACGTTTCGGAGGAACATATCGCCTCCATTTTCAGGGTTGAAAAGTAAGTCAAGCAAGAAAGCAGCATAAAGCAGGGAACAGGCACATCTGCATAAGCCAGACAGCATAATTCTTCATAGCTATTTCTGTGAGAATCTCAACTCCAATTTTGTTAATTGCAAAATCTGTGCTCTTTTATTCTTGTGAATGAAGAGGGCAACAGCCAGTATAAGAGTAAAATGCCCGGTTTCCTTTCAGTGCATTCATCAGGTGAAAGGCCATCAAACTTATGAGTTCCTAGGAGTTCTTCACGCTCACAATCCTTCCATAATACAATAACATCCAATACAGAGTAGCACAAATTTTGAACAACAAGCCATCTAGTGTAAACAGATTTAATATATATATATATATAAGGCTGACAACCTTACCGCCATCTTTGAGGCGATTGTCTAGATAGTGTGGGACCCTCAACGTCTCACAACCCTATGAGCCTTTACGGCCTGGTACAGGGATAGCTTTACTTACTTTATATATATATATAACACACACACATATATATATTGTCCTGCGTCTGTTTTCTTGAATCTTGAACCCTCAGCCTCATGATGTGGAAAGAATCGTAACATGATATGACATGAACCACCTAAGAAAAAACATTAATTCAAAATGGTCCTTAAGAGAACCAATATTCTTTATAGTGTTTTGTTTATGTATATTGGTTCACTCAAGGCCCTGGTCCCAATTCTCCCTCACCTATACCAGTAACATTTTTACCACTGGCTTACTTCCTTACTTTAAAGATTGAGGCATCAGGCTCTTCCATAAATTGACAACAGTCCACAAACCTACATGGCACCACATCCCAGAAGACAGTAATCCTCATAATAATCACTATGGTTATCACAAAATTTACATCACTCTACATGTTTTCAATTCATACATACTGTACACATAATGCATAATAATACAATGGATAGTTTAAAGTAGCATCAGGGCTTGAGGTGGGGCGGGATGCGGCGGGATGGCATCCCTGTTCTTTTCTAAATGGCTTAAAAGCATCCCGTTACTTTACAGTCTGCTTTTACCATTTCTCACGGTCTCTTCGCTTGCAGATTTCTTATATTTTTTCTTCTACCCTGAAGATGGAGGCGATACGTTCCTCCGAAACGTCGGTTAACACCACATATACACGGTGCCAAATCCCAGAAGACTGCTTTCTTCATCCCATTACTTGTTTGGCAGTAAATGCAATGTACAATACTTTTTTGTTAAAAAGGGAAAACCATCCCGGTTCTATTTTCATTCCACCTCAAGCACTGAGTAGCACCATATGCCATGTATTGGAAAAATCGTGAAATAACTGTTCGGAAATCAAAGACAGAGAGGTGAATAAAATGTGACAATTGTAGCATTTTGTAAAGATAAAAAAAAAAATTGATGAGACTGTTTCAGGATTGAATCCACAATGAATTCACAAACATGAACCTTGTTGCTTTTCCAACAGCACAGAATTTATTGAATACCTGAATACCTGCTAGCTGCCATCATCAGACTCACTACCACTGAATTAATTGATGAGAAATATTTCAATATTATTGCAGGGTTGGAAGGAAATCTGTAGTATATGGAAGCCTTCCCAATGATTCAACAAACAGTAATCCATCCATTCAGCGTATCTTCTACTGCATTCATGGGAAAGCCAATGGTTGTTGTGTATTGTCTGATTCAGAGCTCCTTGATGGGCCCTTACATGGCAGCACAGCTGCTAGACACAAGCGCAGGGATTCATTAACAGCAACAATTGGTAAGAGACATTCTTTGAATTCCTTATACTTGCTCCAGTAACTCTCATATACCTTTATAGCAGTATCTTGTGAACATGACAAATTTTTGAGGTCTATAACAACAAAAAGTTACTTGACCAACTGAGCAGCTGTTAGCATCTGAAGACGGATTCTGCTGCATGGAGTTCATTAATTTTAGAGATACCCAGTTTAGATATTATCCTGGAATGAGTATCAATACTGAAATTACAGCTTTTGCCACTCCTTGGAGATTGATTTCAGAAAGCAATGATAGTGGTTCATCTGTAACATGCCTAATTCATATTCATGAGTTATTAGGCCAAAATATCATTCCTTGTTCTTCGATGATGAGACAGAAACAGTCTCCAACACATGAATGAATGAATAAATCAATGTATAAGGGGTGGGCCTTCTTGGCTCTTGCACCACGACCACAGTGATCTGTTGTGCCTCCCCTTCTGATTAACCCCTCAACAATCCTGCACTTCCAATGAAGCGCAGGATTTTGTACATGGGGACGTCGAAATAGTCATTTGGTTCCATAAAATATTGACCCAAGTGACATAATCTTGAATAAGCTAAGGCCTCACATTTGCACAGGATATGTATGTGGCTGTTTAGTCTCCAACACATCAGATTTGTCCTTTGAAATGGCATTGCTAAATGCCTCAGAAGAATTTATCACCTTTAAATGATGTGAAAGCTTCAAATCTCATGCATCGCAACTGAAGTTATTGTGGTTTTATTTATCTTTTGCATCTTGTTGTGCATAATATAGAGTAATATTATACTGTACAATCATCAACATAATAAATTTCATAATAAGTAAACAGTGTTACTGTATTGTGACATGTGACAATGTGACATTGTGACATTAACGATCTCTACGGCGTATTCTGTAACGAAACACGTTACAGTATTATCATTCGTTATATTATGTACATTTGCTACATGTTTCGATCCAGCTGGATCATCTTCAGGCAATTTTTCATGAACTATACTATTCATTATTGAATTGTAGTTCTGTATATTTCTAATGTAGATCCACATTAGCAATCATGAATATGAATTTCAATACAATACCTGTGTTTCATTATAATTTGGATATCAGTCTTGCAATGTAAAATGCTGGACCTTGGTTGAAAGTTAAGACTAGAAGTTAAAAAAGTAAAAATTTAAAAATGAATTTGTTTCTATTTTTCAGTGTGGAGTACAAGTCAATGATGTATCGTAGAGTAGATGAGTTTTATGGGAATCTGCATTGTTTCTTTTTTTTTTAATGTATTACTTGGTGGTTTTGAACATGTATGTGAAATTATGTTCTGTTTCCCTATTTTGTGATGGTGGTAAAAAGGGAAACTTAAAAACCAATATAATTTTTCTTAAGGCCTTTCATTTTTACCGTAATGTTATAAAGGATGAATAACTGTAATTAAGTTGTGTTTATTCTTCCAAATTGGAATTCTACATCTCCTGCTTATATTGCAAAATATATAATTAATCATGTCAAGTTATGAGCACAGACAGTAACTTAAGTCACATTATAACAAGTGAAACAAACTGATATTCCACCAGGGAATGTGCTTGAGGGTAAAAGGTAACACACTTGGATATGATTCATAGAATGAAGTGTATTCATTCTTATAAACCGGTATATTTATTTTCATTATACATTATATATACAAATCAGCAATCACCTGTCCTGAACACTTGAAGCTTTTCATTTCGTTTCTTTCTAGTTGGGGAACATTGTCATCAGATAGTTCCCATCACAGTAGATAAAAAGGCACGGTGTAAACTGATTATTGCAAGTATTCTTTGCGTTTTCTTCATGATTGGAGAAGTCATTGGTAAGTCCAAGACATATACGTGAATATTACTTGTACTTTATGTGTTCACATAATTTTTAGGCGTTAGAATCATTACAATGTTAAATATATACAAGCCACATTCAAGCCCCATTAGATTAAGTTCCCCTGTTTTGCCTGAAGGTGGAAAAAGAACAAACTTCTGCAACATTTGCAGTTTTAGTGTAAAAAACAAAGAGTGGATAACGTTCAGAGGTGCACCTTTGTCAAAATCATTCAAAAAATAAGAAAACATCACATGTGTAAAGTGTGTACACTTCATTGGAACATATAATTTAATGTAATATAATATATAGTCGGTATAGCGACTGGTTACGGGCTGGATGACCAAGGGATCGGAGTTCAAGTCACAGTGTGGGCAAGAATTTCCACTTCTCCATGTCATCCAGACTGGCTCTGGGGTCGACCCAACCTCCTATCCAATGGGTACCTGGGGCTGTTTCCCCTGGGGGAAAACGGGAGGGGCGTGAAGCTGATCACTCACCTCCGGCTAGTGTCAAGGTCAAGAAAATGGGGATCTATACATCCACTCCCCCACACACCTTCATGGCATAGTGCTTAATTAGTTAAGCACAAGGGCAACTTTATATATATACATCATTTATGCTACCACTAGTTTGCCCATGTAGATTGGAAGAAAAATTTTTGTTTCCTATGGTAGTTACTACGTTTAACAGCTCTAGGTTCTTGGACTCACAAGCATCATTTTTGTGACCTTCAGAACATCTTATCATGGCTACTATGAAAGCATACTTATTGTTTTTGTCGTCTCAGTAGTTTTCTCATCACACACTAATGGACTTGCACCGTTCTTGAGGAGCAGCCAATTGTGCAGCTACTCAAGAACTTTCCAGCATTTTATGGAACCCGAAGGTTGGTTACCATGTTCACAAGAGCCCACCACTGGTCCCTATCCAGAGCCAGATAAATCCAATCCATCTCATCCCATCCTATTTCTCTAACATCCATTATAATATTGTCCACCAACCTACATCTTGGTCATTTCTACTGGTCTCTTTCCTTCTGGCTTTCCCACTAATATCCTACATACATTCCTCTTCTCCCCCATTCGTGCTACATATCCTGTCCATCTCATCCTCCTACACTTGATCATTCTAATTACACTTGGAGAAGAATACAAGTTATGAAGCTCCTCATATGCAGTTTTCTCCAACCTCCTGTCACTTTATCTCTCTTCGCTCCAAACATTCTCCTCAACACCCTGTTCTCAAACATCCTCAGTCTATGTTCCTGCCTTAATGTCAGAGACCAAGTTTCACACCCACACACAACCACAGGCAAAATTATAGTTTTGTGTATTATAATATTCATGTTTTTAGACAGCAGAAAAGACTGAATGGTAGCAAGCATTACCCGAATTCAATCTCCTCTTAATTTCCTCCTAAATTGTGTTCTCATTTGTTATAGTAATTCCCAAATGTCTGACTGTGCCACATTTTTAAAACATCTGTTAACTATTTAATGTCATGATTTTGTCCTATATTCTGGTGGTGAGACAGCAACCTATGCTTAGTTTTTTCTGTGTTTACTTCTAGATCAACATCCTCACTAGCATCCATTAAAGTTTGTGTGCTTTAATTATGGTATCTATATTACCACCCAGTATATTCACATTATCGGCATAGACCAAAAACTGATGTCTCCCATTTAATTTGAGTCCCACTTGGTTTTTCTGTACCTTTCTAATAAAATATTCTAAAGCAACATTGAAAAAGAGTGGTGATAAAGCATCTCCTTGTTTTAGACCATTCTGAATAGGGAAAATATCAGGCAAATATTTACCAAGGACTTTACTGTACATTTCATTTACACATAATTTAATCAGCTAAACTACTTTCATGGGTACCCCAAACACTGTGAGAATATTGTACAGTACTTCCCTCCTAACTGATTCATAGGCTTTCTTGAAGTTTATGAATAGCTGAGGTACTGTCTCATTGTACTCCTATTTCTTCTCCAGTATCTGACGAATGCAGAAGATCTGATCTGTAGTTGACCTGTTACATCAAAATCCCACTGATGATCCCCATTAATTTCAATTATATATGGACTTAATTTTGAGAGAACATTTTTTATGAAGTTGATAGCAGTGATATCCCATGATAATTACTACAGTCAGTTTTATCACCCTTCTTGTTAACTGGTACAATAATAGACTCCTTCCACTGATCGGGCAATTTTTCCTTATTCCAAATAGAACTAATTAGCATAATGGATCTTAGGATGTAATATTTCACCTCCTGCTTGAATAAGTTCTGCTGGTATTTCATTACTACCTGGCGATTTATAAGTTTTCAACTTTGCAATAGTAAGTTCAACCTCAAAAGGGCTATGATCAGGTACTAACAGCTCAGCTGTATGTATTTCTATCTGCCTAACATCACTGACCCTCTGTACATTCAATAACTGAGAGAAGTAGTTCTTCCACCTATTCAAAACGTTGTGGGAATCTGCAAGCAGATCGCCATTCTCATCCTTCACTAAGTTACTTCTAGATTGATAACCACTCTTAAAGTCATTTATTCCTCTATACAGGTCTCTAATATTCTTGTTCTAACTGTTCATTGCAAGCTCATAAATTTTGCCTTTTGGATATGCCCTCTTGTTAATCCTAAAATGCCTGCTGGTTTCACGACTTGTTCAGATTATCACCATTTATTTCGCTTGGATCCTGTAACCACTTGAATTTGGCTTGCTTCCTTTGGTCTAATAATTTTGATCATCCTTCATTGAACCATGGCTTATGCTTTTTCAATTCATAGTAACCTAGGCTGTCTTTGGCAGAAATTTTTATATTCTCTGTAATAGTTTCCCAAACTCTACTAATATCCAGCTCTGTGTCCAAGTTTTCCAAATCTGCAAACCTGTTTGAGATCTCAACACGATACTGCTCTTTTACCCTCTACCTCGTTTAATTTTGTCAGATTGAACCTCTCCATCTGAAATTTATGCGTTTGCTTACTCACTGACAGTTTTTCCCTAACCTTTGCCACCACCAGATAGTGGTCAGTATCACAATCTGCTGCCCTGAATGATTGGATATCAAGTATACTTGAATGGTGTCTCCTGTCTATCAAAATATGGTCAGTTTGGTTGTGTGTCTTCCCATCATGAGATATCAAGTAGATTTTTTAATGTTGCACTGTGGGAACATTGTACTTTTGACAGTATGATTTTTGGATGTGCCAAAGTTTACTACTCTAACTTCATTATCATAACTAATTTCATGTAAATTCTCATTCCCAAATGTTGGTTTGAAAATGTCTTCCCCACCTACTCTAGCACTGAAATCTCCTAACAAATTTTTCATATGGTAGTTTTCTTATAGGAGAAAAAATTAAATTATAATTGAACTTAAGCATATGACAGTAAAATGAATAAGTTTTTCTGAGTTTTCCTTCCTGAAAAAGGAACTTTCCTGTTTTCACTCATCATTATCATTTTGTAAGATACAAAGTCTGATGAGCATTGTAAATTACACATATAATTGTAGTTTAACTAGATAGGCGTGAATTTTCCTTTTTGCCTTCCTCAATTACTGTCAACTCTGTCCCATGCAGGAGGCTACCTATCATCAAGCCTTGCCATCGCAACAGACGCAGCGCACTTACTCACTGATTTTGCAAGCTTTATGATATCACTGTTTGCTCTGTGGGTTGCTTCACGGCCAGCAACACGTATGATGAGTTTTGGTTGGCATCGAGCAGAGGTGCTTGGAGCACTCACTTCTGTCCTCATGATATGGGTAGTCACTGGCATTCTGGTCTACCTTGCAGTACAGAGAGTTATCACCAAAGATTTTGAAATTGAGAGTACTTCAATGCTCATCACCTCTGGTATTGGAGTTGTGGTAAATCTGGTGTAAGTTTTATAATCTTTACTGTCTCATAAATTTTATAGAGCAAGTACACTGATAATGAAAACAATGATCTTCAAGTTATACAGTTGACTGTATAAGTGGCTTATGATTGTTCTCTCTCTCGCTGTCTCTGTCTCTCTCACTTTATTTACACACTTTTCCCATGTCATTATCTCAAATTTTTCTTTTATTTCACTGTTTTTTAAGGAATGTTGTCTTAAATAATACCTTACACTAAATTAAATTTTACGATTCCTTCAAAAATATGGCTGGCTATAGAATATGTGATTTGGTTTCAATATGCCAAAAGGATACCAGAAACCTTTCTCCTGACCATCACATATAGATGGTTTTGCTGTCTTTGGGCTTCCTGCACAATATGTATTTGAGCTAAGGGTGGCTAACCAAATGTTGTAAATTAGAGCTTAGGATGTATTTGTTTCATATAGGGAACGTGTGGGTTCAAATTATGGTCAGGAAATCCATTATTTTGAGGTTTCCCACAATTCTTCTGAGTTGTCTTATGGTAATGTGATGATGGTACATACGTTAAAATAGACCATAGCCATTTCCTACTACATACTTTCCAACTCACAGTTCATAATAGTTTTCTAATTTATCATTCTGAGTTATGTAACAACAGCGGTATAATGCCATTAAATAAATGTGTCCAAGTGTAATGGCAATTACGAGTATTTGTCTTCTTCTACTGTTGAGGTATAAGAAAGCGAATTTTAAATGTAATTTTACTTTTGGATACTCCGAGAATATACACCCTTAAAAATAAGAAGAGTATGAAAAAGTGATATGGAGAACATTAACATAGAAGTTACTCAACCTATGGAAACTATGAAAACTTTGACAGTTAAATTAGTGGATTGTATGTTGGATAGTTAGGGTTAGCCACTGGTTCTGGTACCCACCTAATGGGTACTGGATCTTTTCTTTTTTTTTTTTCCTTCCCCCCCCCACCTTGTGCCTTGTACTGCGGCCACTTCTGGGCTATTGTAACAGCCCCAGATGATAGGTGAGGATGATTGTGGAGCAATTGGTGGAATGAAGATTGACAGTGGAAACCGAAGTACTCTGAAAAAACCTGCCCCAGCGACACTTTGTCCACCACAAATCCCACTTGACCAGACCTGGGATCGAACCTGGGCCGCTGCAGTGGGAATTAGGATCTCTTTACTCTGAAGTAAGAGGTCAATGTGGGAAGCTGATTACTCATCTCCATCTTAAGTATAGATCTAGAATATGTCAGACACTTCCATCGGTACATCTTCGTGATGTGATGTTTAAACACGGGACACCTTTAGTTTATGTAATATATGGAGAGAATTACATAATAACAGTGATAGTATTTTACCATATTTACTTTTATAATTGTCAAGAATTTTGCCCATTAAAAACAAGTGATCACATATGAATAAATGAAGTCTGTTGATAATGGAATTTTATATTTCCTTTATTTAAATAACACATATCATACTTTAACCTATGTTATGTATCAGTAATTATTATGTTCATCATCATCAGAATTACACTTTCCCTACCTTTATGAAACATGAGATATTTATTTTGAAAGATTTTAAATGAACTAATTATAAGGCTATAATTTTGAAATTATGAGAAATTAATAAATTTGGCATGTGAAGATTCCCTCTTAAGACTTTTTCTTCTGGCCTTTACTTTCAGGATGGGCCTAACCCTTCATCAGCATGGACATTCTCATAGTGGGTCCCAGAACCATATAGAGGGTCAGGTAGAAAACCCTAGTCCCCGGCACAATATCAATGTCAGAGCTGCTTTCATCCATGTTTTGGGAGATTTCATCCAGAGCTTTGGAGTCTTTGTAGCTGCTCTGGTAATATTTTTCGAGGTATGAAGTTCATATAGTTTCATTCTATGAATCTTACAGTCTCAACCTGACTAAAAGTAACAAGCAGCTCAAGCTGATATGAATAAAATATTGTTAAATCAATGTCTTTCAGTTCCACAATGCAATTGCATATGGCAAGTTTAACAAGAAGTTTACTTACGACACAACTAGAACTTTATGCTGTTGCAAACCTTATGCAGGGCTCCAAAAATTGTTCACCAAATTGCAAGAGGTGATTTAATCTGAGTTTATTTATGTTCTATAAATTCAAGTACAGATTGACACCATAGAATATGCAACAAGTCAAGTACAAATACATAATATCTGTACAATAATAGTACTGCTTGAAAAGGTAATAATATTATAATACAGTATTACTATTATCATGCTAATTGGATACCTAGAGCACAGTCTGCAAATAAACAAAATGATACAGTAACATGCTTAGGAATACATTTGAGCTTAGAATTGATATCAACTACTTTGAAAAGCTCATCTTGTGAAGCGAATAGCATCTACAGTACAATTATTGTTTGAAAAAAAGACAAACTCTCCCCTTGTACTGGGCTGGCCATCTAACACATCAGTTCTTAATGACCCTCTTGTAACAGACACCTCTATTGAGACTACTGCTGTCCAAAGTAAGAATACTCATATGTTGGTATCATGTAATGATAATTGGTCTAATAGGACTTCAAAGAGAATTAAGAAACATCCTAGGACAACGACAAACGGTTTTTTGTGGCAAATATAAATTTTAAAGTCAGTAACGATCCATTTAGTCCACCCCAATCAAACTTAATGAGAAGTAAAATGAATAATAATATTAGCTTAAATAAGACAAATCAAGATCATATAAAAAGAAATGCCTCCAAAAAAATTTCTGGTCCATTGATTTACCATCAGAATATCAGAGGAATAAACAATGAAACTGAAGAATTACTTAGCCAATGGGAATCTAAATTACCCCATGTGCTCTGCTTCACAGAACACCACCTAACTAAGCCTGAAATTACACATATAGTCATAAAATGTTATAACTTAGGATCTTATTTTTGTCATAAATCCAGAAAGAATGGCGGTGTAAGTATTTTTGTCCATCAGAACTTACAGTTTACACCTATTGATCTGGATGAATTTTGTGTTGTCCAGGAAGTTGATGTTTGTGCATTAAAGCTACATAATTTTTCTTCTAATATCTATATTTTAACTGTATATAGATCTCCAACAGGAAATTTTTTATACTTTTTAAATAATATAGAATCCATTCTTACACGAATATACATAAATTCGTCAAATATTATTATATGTGGAGATATAAGTGTTAATTATTTAGATGTTGGCAATACTAAAAAACAAAAATTGGATTATCTGTTAGCTTCATACAATTTATGTAGTATTGTCAAATTTCCCACTAGAGTTAACAATTTTTCACAGCTATTCACAGTTTTTTTATTGATGAACATAGAAATGAAATTTATTCAATAAATTCATTGTCAAATGGATTATCAGACCACGATGCTCAGATTCTTACATTGAATAATCTTAAATTCCTGAATTCACCTAATTATACTCTTAGCACAAGAGACATAAATGAATATACTAAATTAGAATTCAAGCTAAATTGTGAAATTTGGGCTGATGTATTTACTATAGAGGATGATGTGAATCTAATAAATAATTTTCCTAATACCTATTTAATAATATTTAGTCATAGTTTTCCTTATAAAAACATTTCTCTAAACACAAAAAATAAAACCTGGTTAACAGCTGGAATCAAAACATCATGTGCACATAAAAGAGAATTGTATGTGCTTAGCAGAAACACTGACAATCCTGAATTAGTAAGATACTACAAGAAATGTTGTAAAATTTTATCTGATATCATAAAGTTAGCAAAGAATCATTGTTATAGCAGGCTTATTATAAATTCTAAAAATAAAATTGAAACTACTTGGGGTATCATTAGACCTATAACTGATACCAAGTCAAGCAAAAATATAATATTATATTTAATTTACATATTTATTATATATATATAATTTATTATATTTAATTTAATCATATAATAAACCACAAACTATGGCCAATATTTTTAATAATTATTTTATAATGCCACCAAATCAAATGCAATCTAACAAACCTACTAATGCGGCCAGCGCATAAGGCTGACAACCTTACCGCCATCTTTGACCCGATTGTCTAGATAATGTGGGACCCTCAACGTCTCACAACCCTATGGGCCTTCACGGCCTGTTACGTGGGATAGCTTTACTTTTTTTTTACTTACTTACAGTGAACTAACTGTTTGGTGTTGTGTTGCAGCCCTCTTGGGTTCTAGTGGATCCAATTTGTACCTTCCTCTTCTCAGTTTTGGTGCTGATGACAACCTTTGCAATCATCAAGGACACAATGCTGGTGCTAATGGAAGGTAAACACTAGTTATCATTTTTAAAGTGGCCATTGTGGCCATTATACAGCAAATTATATCTATGATGTAACAAAACATTCTCTTGACCATATCACAGATGTCTGAATATTGTTTTCCATTTCAGAGAGTTTCCATTTATCACAGGTACTTTTAAATTGAATCAAATGTGCATAATAAACTCATAGTACACATGAGTACCTCATTGTTCTTCTTCCTCCTCCTCTCCCCCCTTTCTTCTTCTTCTTCTTTTAGTTTCTAGGATTATGTACATGACTTATTTCCCCAAATTATTTCCAATGTATGAGAGGAATAAACTGCTTCTTTCCTATTTCTGTGGTCAATTCATAAAACAAGTTTCTTTGAGTAGGAGCATGGGAAGGAGTACCTTAAAGTCTCAATGGTTGCCACATTTTCAGCTAGTGCTTAAATTATGTCATCCGCTTCATGAGTTGGTTTCTATGTACCAGAAATGACTGCCAGTTTAGATGAGTGTCCATTTCAGGCAACAGACTTCGTGGGTTTTTGAGCAGCTTCATATTAAGTCCAAGGACCAACATTCACATGAATGCTGGGTGGTAGTGATGGACCAGAGTAGAATGAACAGAAAACAATAAGTATTTGAGTAAAATTTTCTGTTGAATTCTTGCTCTTACCTTCTGTATATACATTGAACAGTTCCTGTTTGTTAGATATACACTTGTGGTTTTCACTGTACGTGCCTGGGTCTGGAGAAATTATCCAACAAGTTCATGTTTTGCGTTTAATCCATATTCCAGTTTTGACAAGACATAATTTAATATCAGTGATTTTCTGTGTACATCATGGCTTGGTATGAACTTACACATTGAATGGTTCTCTTTCAAATGCCATTGCCAACTCCTGAATGAATCTTTAGATTTCAACATATTGAAAGTATATTAAAGAAGACCCTGTAATTTGTGTCGAAGCCTTCCTTGATTCAGGTGCCACCAGTACAACCAGGACTTTCATACAAATAAATTATGAATAATTCTATGACAGAATTAATATAAAGGATCCAGGATACCTGGAAGTTCCAACAGCCCAAATTAGACCATTCATGAAGTAAACATTGATTGTATTTTTATTTTTGACCTCTTATTTATTTTATTGGATTGTGAACAAAATTCATGACCAGTAAAGGCACAAGAAATATACAGGTTTTAGCTGAAAATTTTCGCACATTTAAATTTTCTTTACTTGAGAAGTATGATTGTATTGTTGCATACCAAATAAACAAACAACAAAAAACAAACTCTGTTGCCTGTAGTCCACAAGCGAACTGTACTGACCAAGCGACTGCCGCTTGTCGGCGAAGTTAGGGTCAACTTTAGCGAATAGGGAGTGTCATGTGGTCAGCACAATGGTTCCCCATGGCCATTAATTTCGGTTTCCTAGACCGGAGTCGCTATTTCCTTGAAATAGCTCCTCAGTTATCCTCATGAGGCTGAGTGGACTACATTCCAGACCCACTACTTCTCAGAAAATCTAGTAGCGCCGGGAATCGAATCCGGGACCTCTGGACCTGTAGCCAGGAACTCTGACCACTAGACCACAGAGGCAGTCTTACATGAGATTTAAATTTTAGATGATGGCTCTCCCTGATAAAACACTATATTTTGTATATTTTATGGGTGTCTCGAGCTTCGATTATCTAAATAGCCATTGGCCCCTTCTGGTGTCTGGAATTCTGTATGAACACTTCTGATATGAGTAGAAAAATTCTGTTTTCTCAGGATTATGTCATTTGTATTCCTAGATTGCTTCCCGTATTTATTGGCTCACTAATTGCATATGATTTAAGGTCTGCCTAAAGGGATGGACTTCACCCAAGTAATGAACACTTTCCTGAATATAGAAGGAGTTGTTAGAGTGCACAACTTGAGGATCTGGGCCCTGAGTATGGACAAAACAGCAATTTCAGCCCATCTTGCTATATGTAAGTATGTTTCTTTGAATTTTAGGCAAACTATAATTAACAGATAGTCATATGTTTTGGTTCAGTGTACCCATATGGCCTTATGTCAATTTAAATTGTTTAACATAAATGTTTCAAAATTCTCATAAGCCTTTCCTGTAAGAGTACTAGATTCACTGCCAAGAAATAAACTAATTTGGCTCTCATCCAACATCATTTTACAGACATTAAAGTAAGTAAAGTAACATGAATTGGCAGATATCTTGTCTATAAAAATGTACTAGTGATTAACTGATGTAGAAATATGTATCTATTCATTCTATCTATTCTATAGTTTATTACAAACTTCATATAAAATATACACTGAATTTCTTGCTGCTTATTAACTGCATTAACTGATTTTATTAACTTCAGATACATCAATTAAATGATGAATTTCAAATTTAATGAAATAAATTTATCAGTCAATGTCCCTATTTATTACATTCTCTTTAACACATTTTGTAAATTATGTTTGACTATAAAGTTGTGTTTGTAGAGGCAGAAATCTCTGTTCTGTGTATTAAACTGTCTGTGTTTCTGTATGTCTACGGAGACAAAGGAAGTCATGCCTGAAAGAGATCTACCTACTCCAAACAACAATTAGATTTTGGTAAGAATGATTGCTGCTGGATGGGGAGTACAGTTTAGTATGGACTGAACAACTGTGAAAGCCTGTAAGCCTTAAGTCTCTGTGGTTAGATCTGGTTGAATTTAAAACCTAGGAGTTTGTGAGATAATTCTACTCCAAGACTAGCAAATTCTCTTGAGCAAATTTGATATATGGAAAAAGAACTGGGTTGAAAAATTAATGATATTCTGCTTTCTTGCATGTTGATCCAGCTCCTGGAGCAATTCCCCAGAGAGTCCTCCAACAGGCCTCACATGATATTCGATCTCAGTTTCACTTCTATGAGATGACACTGCAGATAGAACAATTTGACCGTGACATGGAAGACTGCGCCCAGTGCAAGTGTCCGGATTCATAGCACATTTTGTTTCATGGTAACAGGATTACAGAATGTAGGAAGCGGGTGTCTGAAATTCTGGAAGATATTTCTTAAAACTTTCAGACCTCCTAACTGTTTCATTATTCATTGAATGTCAATGAAAACATTTACCACATCTGAAACAGCAGACACTTAAAATAAGCATGTGGGTTATGTCAGTATTTTATTTAATTTTGTGCTTTCAACAGTGATCATTTTATCTGTATTCAGCATCTAGGATAAAGAAGAAGGATACTACTATCATTCCATGTTCGTATGTCTCACAAGACCTATCTTCGAAGAGGTTTCCTCTGATTGTAATGCATAAAATTTTGTATAAAGTATATTTCCTTTGTTTTTAAGTAAATGTTTATGATTTTTGGGATAAGAACTCTTTAGTATTTGCCTCATGCTTCCATTTTAGAGTATTTTTCAGAAAGGTAAAATGTAAAGCTATCCCTGTAACAGGCCATGGAGGTCCATAGGTTCGTGAGATGTCGAGGAGCCCACATTTTCTACACCATTGGCTCACAGATTGCTGTGTGTTTGTCAGCCTTACCTGCTGGCCGCCCTTTACTTCCAGGAAGATTCCTGGTGCTCATTTCTGTTAGAGGCTGAGTCGGTTCCAGGACTATAGTGCAGCTGGAATGATTAGGTCAACAGAAAAATCCACTGGCCTCAATGAGAATCAAACCTGAGACCTTCCAATCTGTAGCATACTGTCTCAGCCAACTATGCTACCTCATGCCCCCAAGTACTTTACATGTCAAATAATTAAAAAAAACGAATTAAACACATCTGTAGCCTTCATTAGGCCACTTGAGGCTGAATAAAATTCTTGAACAAAATATCGTATTTAGTATTTCAGACAAAGCTTATTCATAGTGAATAAAATTAATATTTAACAACAAGTTTTGGGAAGAACTGGTCTCATACTTTCTTTGATATGATACGGACCACATAAATAACGAGGCATCCAACAATTAATCTATGGTTGCATGTGAATTCATTGCTGTAATAACGTTTTTACCAAGCTCTTGTCTAGGCATGATGGAGGGATGCATATTACAGACACACATAAATGGGCTGGATTTATGAAGTACGCCATTGAGACAGACTTAGATGCCATGATATATATACAAAATTTCATACAAATTTGTTCTGGCATTCAAAAATTGAGGAAGGGAATGACAACAGCATGGTGATCTCATGAGCCTACTTCTATTTTGCTTTTAGTAAGGAAAGTAGGCTATAAATGGACTTTGATGTGTAAAATTTGACATAAACAATAAAAAAATATTTTAGTGTGAGGAAGAATATAATATGGAACAAATGCTTTAAACAGAACAGCCACATGTCTCAGGTTTTAATCTTTCTGTACAGCTGGAGTGAAAGCATTCATACAATTTAAAGAGTGTTTCCTTTTTCTTGCAGACTAGAATATGATATTTTTTTCTGTTATCACTGAAATGAATTTAATACTAGTTTTCATATTTGTTATGCTGAAGAAATAGTACTGTGGGATGTCAGTGTTAACTGTGACAACCACATAAAACTATAACAATACATGCTTATTGCGCTTAGAGTGGAGAGTGTGTCTGAACAATGCCAGTGAAAACTCCTTTTGTAGCAGTTAGACCAGTGTAGTGATGACGGTGCTACTGGAGGTCCCTAAAAGGGCCATTTGTCTCAAGCATCCATTGGAGCGACCAAGCCAGCGCAGCGTGCTTCATTGCGGCAGCCCAATATTCTTCCTGCTGCAGCTCGGTGATTGCAAGCTGACAGGATAGCAGTGAGTCTGGCTGGCTGGCAGAGCTACAGTGCATGCGCCAACAAAGTCAGCTGCCTACGATGTGTGCGCTGGTAGAGTCAGCTGCAGTGCTGTTACCAGAGAGTTGCAGTTGCAGTGAACTCATGATGGCAGTGTAGCAGCGACTGATATGACTGATTCCAGCAGAAGGAGAAGCTTACTGGCAGCAACCATCCAGCATTGTCATTATGGCATCGGGCCCTGCTGGGACCCATGGTCATTTGTTTGTTCAATATCAAGACTTTCGTTTTTTCCCCTTCCTTTGTTTTTCCTCCTTTTTGATAAAAAGGAGGGGTTGAACCCTTTTTTTATAAGTAGTGTTCCCTCAGCTTAAACATTCTCTTTAATACCTTGCCTCTTGAAAGCCATCGAGCATCACTAAAAAACAACAGAGCAGTGTGTTCGACACCCATTTCCTCACACAGCATTTTAAAAAGTGTAGACTTCAGAGGATTTCAGAGGATGCGGCTGCTGCCGAACTATCAACGCTGTCTCTGGCATACGCGTTTTATAATTGCCGGTAAAGAGAATAATTATTAGTTATTTTGAAATTCATGATAATTAAAGCCTGTACTCATCAAAAGTGTTTCTGTATGTATTTTTATTTTTTGTTACTTATCTAATTGATTTAGGGCAGGTTTAATTTTTATCTGTAGGAAAGTATGTTGCGACCCCTTTTCAAGCCCTTCGCCCCCCCCCTGGGGGTCGCGCCCCACAGTTTGATAACCACTGGATTAGTCAATCTCCCCATCTGCGAATTGCTGTAGGTCAAGGGTCTTCAAACTACGGCCCGCGGGCCACATGCGACCCGCGATGTGATTTTATCCGGCCCGCGAAAGAATTGTGCAGAAATGCGCCAATTGAACAAACTTTCCAATGGGTACTTGTAAATGTGATTCCGAGCTTATTGACCTGACATATTATACTGCAGTTCGATGGCTTAGCTGTGGAAAGGTTCTTTCTCGCTTCTTTCAGCTCAGGAATGAAATTGATATATTTCTTACCGAGAAAAACCATCACGAACCACTTTTATCAAATACCGAGTGGCTTTGGAAATTAGCATTTTTTGCTGATCTGGTGAACCATATGAACCATTTGAATTTAAAGTTGCAGGGTGAAAATAACTTAGTCTGTGATTTATTTGCACTTATCAAGGCATTCAGAGCAAAGTTGATACTTCTGGAAAGGCAAGTGAAAAACTGTAACTTTGTTCATATGCTATACTGTGCAGAGTTGCATTAAAGGGTGAAGCAGAATTTCCTTCCTCGTTTGCAAGTTTAGTCGTTTTAGATTTGAAAGAACAATTTCAAAAACGATTTGCTGATTTGGATTCCAGTCCTCAGGAAATTAGATTGTTTCAAAATCCGTTTGACTGTGATGCTGCAGATGTAAAATTCAAATGGAAATTATTGAACTTCAGGAAAATTATCTTAATAAAGACATATACAAGGAAGGAAATCTGATCGAATTTTATAAATTTCTGAACTCTGAGCAATTTTCAAATTTAAAGAAATTTGTTTGTAAATTTATCTCAATTTTTGGGACGACGTATTTGTGTGAACAAACTTTTTTCCCAGATGAAGTACATCAAGTCGGAATACAGGGCAAATTTATCCGATGAACATTTAAAGTCGCTACTTGTGGTTAGCGTTTCAAAAATTGAACCTCAATTTAATTAGATTTTAAGAATGCAAAAAGAGTTCCATCATTCACGTTAATTGTTTTATTATAATAATTTGTGACGAAAATATGAGCATTTGCTGCTACTGTCTGTTGTCATTAATATACGATAATTTATTCTCACGTACTTTGTATTTAGTTTATGAAATTCTGTGCTTTCAATAAAACTCATATACCTAGAGTTATTAATTTTTCATTTTATTCGGCCCGTTGAGAGTGCTGAATTACCTAATGTGCCCCGCGGTTCGAAAAGTTTGGAGACCCCTGATATAAGTAATGGATATGGCGTCGAATGAACAGCAGCCAGAGAGAAATCTATCGCAAATATTTGATGAAGGTATGAAGATTTTTGATGATCTGTCGAAAAGTACTGAAGCTACAAATAGCAGCACCGTTCAAGTAAGTATTATAAGCAAGATATCTGCGTATTACTTCGTTGATAATATTTCAGATGTGAATAAACTGTGGTCAGTAATGTTTGTAAACAATGAGGTTATAATGCTATTGAATGCTATGTCTTGCTTTCAGATCCAGGTTAAGAAAGCAATGCGTTTATTCGAGGATAGTACGAGATTAGTGTCTATAGCAGAAATATTCAGTTCTAATGAAAGCATAGATGAAGTTGCTACCAAGAATATTAGGTACTTTCTCCTGCCTGCTCTTTTAGGAACTCTTAGCCTCAAACTGTGTGTTGAAGATCGTTTCAATGTTATACAAACTGCAGAAGTTTATTTCCGAGATTTCTTAAAGCGCTGTAAGAGTTATGACATTGTTGATATTGACATACAAGAACATAACGAAAACAGTTCAACGGAATCTTTTGAATCTGTACGACAGCAGTCTCATGGAACTAATCTAGCAGCTATGGCAAGGGAACGCAATGCAAAGCTTCAGCGATATAAAGAACAAAAGGAACTAGAGAGCCAGCTAGAAATTTTAAGAAGATCAGTATGCAATATGAGCATAGTGGATGAAGAACTTGAAAGAAAATATTACTTGACATTAATTAAGAACTTTTGCAGTCAGGCTGTGGATGAACTTAATAGTATTGAAATGGAAAAGCCATTGTTGGAACATATGGCTAAAGTTAGGAAAGATACAGATGATAAAATTAAAAAAGGAAAATTTCCGCCACCAAAACCACTGAAACCAATAATTATAACAAGAGATGAGATTCAGAAGAAGGTGTTTGGTGCTGGGTATCCAAGCCTACCTACAATGACCGTGCAGGAGTTTTATGAAAAACGGATCAGGGATGGAGAGTGAGTATATGTTTATTACCAGTAATCATGTACTTTTAATTTTGAATTGAAAAAAATGGTGGTTGACAGTAGCATCTTTATTCTCCACAGTGACATATTTATAAGTATAACAAATATAGAGAATGAAATAGGAGCAAATCAACCCCCCATCTGGAGCTCTACACATTTACATTATAACTACATATAATATTCTGTAAGAAATGAAGAGAACAGACTACAGTTTCTTTCGTGGGGAAAATAATTGTAGCTATTTATTTGCCACAGTATCATATTACCTGCTTCATAATCTGACCACTACAGTCAAGGCCCCATCCACGTGTCAGTTCCTTGAGGTGCATTTTTGATAGAACCAGATGAGGCTTAGCTAAGAAAGGAGCTGTACAATGAACAGTGCTTATCACATACACAGTTTCCTCACAAAATATTAAAAAGCAGAAATGAGTTCATGTGCATTACCTTTGAAAATAATGAGGTTTTTATTATGCAAGCTTTCATATCACACACATGTGTAATATTTATCATGTGCATGAAACTTACAAGTTTATCTAATATCTGGTCTAAATTGTAGTAACCAGAACAGATCTGATATTGAGAAGTAAGTAAAGTAAACCTAACTTAAAGTAAAGTTGCCCCTGATAAGAACATTAGAGGCCTGTGCAGAGGAATAAATGCATGTAGTATCTTGTATTCTGCATGTACCAGGTTCACATTTTTTTGGTGCAATACTTTCATGCTTTGTGTGAATTTTAAATTGTGGAATGTAAAAAATTAATAAAGTAAAGTAATAAATCCCAGAAATCCCCAAGGCTTTACATATATTCATATGAGAAACTTGTCTTGAATTATGCGGGTCTACAGGGACATATCCATGCACAAAATGCAACTGCACTATAGTTGTTCTCCCAGTAGGATTGTTAATGGGTTTCCCCATTCTCTGAGTTGTCCTAGGGCAATACTTTCTTTAGAAAGGGCCATAACTTGGTCCTTCTCTTCGCTTCCCTTCAAACGTCACTGAGGTTAGCATACCAACATGCTTGACGAAAGAAGATATTTGGTACGAGTACTGTTTCTTTCAGAGATCAAATGAATTTTTTTTATCCTTGTTTCTTTGTTACTATAATTACAAGATGAATGTGTTTCATAGTTTGGAAAGATGTTGGAGGTAGCATTCATGGCCTCTTTTTTTTTTTCTGTCTAAACACATGCATGAAGCAACTGATGAAACTCATGATAAATCTTATACAGAGTAGTCAGTCTGTTGGTAGAGACTGGAATCAGATACTTTGTAAGTCCAAAGAAAATAATGCATGGTTCTGCAGCAAATTATCTCAGAGACTGAGTAAATCTGGTAACATATTTGTATTTGCAGTGAATATGGAGATTAAGGAAAGTTAGCTGAAAACTGTTGACCAATATTTGACTGGTAACTGGATTTTTCTAGCTGGCCAGATCCAAGTAAACAGAAGCCACAATCACTGCAAGAAATGGCAGCAATGGGGGACCCAAATCGTGTCTCTGAAGAGGAAGAAGCAGAGAAGGAGGTGAAAGTAGAGAGAGATGATCCAAAGCTATTAAAAGAAGCCAGAGACTGGGATGAATTTAAAGATGATCATCGTCGGGGTTTCGGTAATAGAATGAATCGCAGTTAAAGAAGCTGGATGGATGGAAATGCTGTATGAATCATGAAAATGATATCTAAGGTTATAAATCAGTTTGTAAAATATTTAAATTTGACAACATGGATGAATTTTTATGATGTCATTTGGTAATTGTCAGTAGCGGAAGCCGAATCAGAATCATAACAAGCAGGAAATGAAGTTCATATTTCCACATACTCGTATGTAGAGCAGGATTCCATTTTTGTGTCCATAGTAACTAGTGTTAAGGTGTTCAAAGTAGTTTGTTTCGTTTTTGATCCTTTGATTACTGACAGACTACACACTTAATATCAAAACTGGATCTGAAATTAATGCAGAAGAGATGTTTAGTGTTTACAAATTGTAACGCACAGTCAGAAATATCAAATATTGTATTGTAGCATGGTGTTGCACTCTTCCATTTTATTATAAATCTTATTTTACAGTGTTATGTGCAACTATTTATTAACTTAAAAGTTTAAAATTAAATTTAAAACTTAAAAATTTTAAACTTCTAAGACTATAAAATAAGATTTATCATAAAATAGAAATATTAGTATATTATTTCTGAGCATCCTGTTGCACTATACACTTCTATATGTAATAATACAAATGCTCTTGTGAATGCAATGTGGACACAGAGCGGGTATCCCTGTGATTTAAAACTTTAAATTTTGAATTTTAAAAGTTATAAACAATTTTAAATTTTAAATTAGAATTCTAAAATCAAATTGACGAGCGTATGTTGGCGAGATTTTAAACAAAACTGACAGGCTGGTGTTTTAGATTTTAGATTGTGTGCAGTGTGACAGCTACGTAGTGAAAAATACACCTGATGATGGCCGGTTGCGGCCGAAACATGTAGCGTAGAGGAAGAAAAGACAAAGAACTACAACCAAATAAATTGTTGCGTTCACGACGGCATTTGTATTATTACATATAGAACAAATATTAGAGTTATGGTACATGGTATTTTAAATAATAAGAAAGTGCGTCACATAGTGGATTATCAATTATTGATGTGTGGCGACAAAGAAAGGATGGCAGTTGTATTTAGGAGTTACACATTAGGTACAGTGATTAAGTAGTTTGTTATTTGTACAGACTGGTACAAAAAAACAGTACTTTTCTGTGTGGCCAACATATGAGGGTTAAATTACGTGCAGAAAGTTCATGATGGTCACATTAAAAATGTTGGTCATCTGTAAATTAATACATTTCTGCTGATTCCATAAAATTGCAGCCACTTTCTCACAGGTTTCACTGTACATTTTTAGTCAAACATGCTGCCTTCTTGGGTTTTCAGTCCTCCTCTGTATCCTCACCAGAAATAGATGGCTTTGAACCCATATTCTGAGAAGATGGCCATATGTAATTGTCCAGTTTGAACTCGGGAGAAGCAGTGGTACTCACTCATTCATTATTCTTCAGATGCTCCTTCTTGGTGGTACTGAAACTTGATTTACAAACATCATATTGGCCTATTTTTCTGCAGTGCATTTTGAACATCAAGCAACTTACTGACTGGTTCCATCTTGTGACAGAAGTCAGTGCATTCATTGAAGGAAGTATTACCATTAATTAATTGATATATAGTGCCCATCATCATCGTAATCGTCACTAGCATCTTGTTTTTATATTTCTTGTATTTGTTCCCACATTTGTTTCATAATTGTTTTCTGCAGCATCTTTTATTTTGCCTGCTTATGCTACCATTTCAAGATGCACTTGTATCTGCATATCAGTTTCATTATTTTATTAATTTCCCAAGGCAATCCATGTGGGATTTGTGGTGGATGAAGTGGCACAGGGGCATGTACTACAATTTTTTCTTAACAGTCATTTTACCAGTGCTTCATTCCCTCACCTGTCATTCAGAGCTGGTACAATAGGCCATTTTGTGACCACAGTACTAGGAGACTCAGTTTCACCCCATCCCAAGAAAGACGAATAAATCTCATTAACTGCATTGGAATCTTTTTTATTTCATGCTTACATTTTCTTAAAACGTCTATGGATAAGACAGTCCATCAATAATGCAATAAATTGTTCCCTTTTCTTCCACATACACGTATAACACAACATGTTTCAGCCCTAGGTGGCCATCTTCAGGTGTCTTAATATATTAAAACTGCTACACTACATTAACATGCGCTAAAATCACACACTGTCATCCACTTAATATAATAAAATAAAATCTATTAATATAGTCATTACTTCTGTGAAAACAGAATTACATTTTCTTCTTTTGCTTTAATTTCTTGATTATCACTTATAATATTAATGATATATTTCTATCAGACGTAAAACAGCTATAATGGACGTAATAGATTTTCTCTGTGTATCAGTAGGTAGCAACACCACAGTCCAGCTTCATGACAGGTTAGCTAACAGATGTGCATGCACATGTCTAGAGGCTGGTTTCAGTAGTCAAAATGGTGACCATGGTAGATGAGTGTACGATCAAAGAGGAGCTTTCTGCTGTGCATTTCTTTCTTTTTGTGGGCAAAAGGACTAAATACAAAGGATATTCATAAAGAAATGTTTGGTGTTTATGATGGGAAGTGTTTGTCCTGTAAAGGGGTTCACAACTGGGTAGAGAAATTCTCTCAAGCACATTCAAAGTTACAGATGATGCCCGACCAGGTGCAGAAGTGGCTGAGACAACAGTCAAAAAGATTTATATGCTGCAGGTTTCAACACACTGGTAAAGTAATGGGACAAGTGTATGAGTCTTCACAGTGTGCATCCTGTTGTGTGTTCCATATATATATATATATATACATATACATATTATTAATATCAGGCTATGGTCTGAATGGCTGGGGTTTGACACTTTGTAGGACAAGTGATTTTTCTCTACTCCTGCATCCATACCGGCACCGGGACCCAGGAAATGGGTACTTGGGCCTCTTTTCTCAAAGANTGACAGGCAAACAATGGATTGGATGTGCTGCGGGTGAAGATGCCCCCCTTCTCCGGTGTCAACCCCTGTACCCAGATTTCTTCTTGTGGGGGTACATGAAGGATATGGTTTATGTACCCCAATTGCCCCAATCAATCGTGCTGTGGAGACCATCACACCTGAAATGCTGCAGCGGGTGTGACAGGAATTGGACTATCACATTGATGTGTGCTGGGTAATGAAAGTTGTGCACGTAGAGGCACTTTGATGGATGCACATAAAATTTGGACAGTTAAGCTTCTGATTGACGCATGTTATGATTGTACACGGCAAGAAATACGAAATATATATGTATCTGAAACCCCACCATTCTTTTAGGAACACCCAGTATATATAGTAAAAAAAACTGTGGTTTTATTCCGCTTGCAAACTATACTGACCAAGCGACCACCACTTGTCAGCGAAGTTAGTGCCAACTTTAGTGGATAGAGGGTGCTGCGTGGTCAGTGCAGTGAATCCCATGGCCTTTAATTTCTGTTTTCTAGACCAGAGCCGCTATTTCCTTCAAATAGCTCCTGAGTTATCCTCAGTAAGCTGAGTGGACCCCATTCCAGACCCACTACTCAGAAAATCTGGTAGCACCATGAATCGAACCCGGACCTCTGGATCTGTAGCCAGGAACTCTGACCACTAAACCACAGAGGTGGCACATAGATATATACAGAGTGTCCATAAAGTTTCTTTACAATTTCAAAAATTTATTACAAAGGCAGTTGATCTGATATCTTCATCAGATTTGTTGTAGGTACTTAGTGGTTATCAAAGTTTTTATCACATGGCATTTGTGTATTTCAGGTACCCTGTTGATGAATGAGGTACTGGTAAATGAACCCCATACAAAATGGCAACTGAGTTTGTTTTAGTGATGAGGCAACCTTTCATGTTTCAGGGAAACTGAACACACACAATGTGAGAATCTGGGGATCAGAAAACCCCCATGTGACTAGGGAACTTCAGCGAGATCGTCCAAAGGTGAATGTGTAGTGTGGGATCATGTGCAATCGAATCATTGGTCCATTTTTCTTCGGCGAGCCATCAATTACTGCAAATGTTTACCTTGATCTTTTAACTGAATACGTGGCACCACAACTACATGACCTTCAACCAATCATCATTTTCCAGCAAGATGGTGCACCACCACATTGGGGACTGCTTGTTCGTGGGTTCCTAAATGAAACATTTCCAGGCTGGTGGATTGGAAGGGGTGGCCCAATTACCTGGCCACCTTATTCACCAGATATCACTCCCCTTCACTTCTTTCTATGGGGTTATGTTACAGATATCGTGTATCGAACAAAGGCACGGGACATCACTAATCTAAAGCTGAGGATCACTGATGCCATTGCCACCACTGATGAGGGTATGCTACAGCGAACATGGCAAGAAATCAAGTACCGTCATCATGTGCTTTGTGCAACTAATGGTGCCCATATAGAGGTGTATTAAATGACGCAAAACCAGCTTAAATATATATGTCTCATGTTGTAATAATTTCTACTTATCTGTCTTTTCATTTGCCTTTGTAATAAATTTTTGAAATTGTAAAGAGACTTTATGGACATCGTGTATGTGTATATATATATATGTATGTATGTATGTGACAGTATATATAGTAGTTATGTTAAACTGTCACCACAACAAATGTATACTCACTTTTAATGTTTACAATTAAAGTTTATTTTGCTACATGTTTCAGTCACATGAGACCATCATCAGGCAGTTAATATAGAATACATCTTGTCATTGAATTACTAATAGATACATATTAGTGCAATGTGTCATATTATGTGATAACATAAATTTTTTCTCAATTTGGTAAAGAGTATTACACATCACACGTTTATAACAACCTATATATCATTGTGAATTACCCCTGGGCTTCACGACCTGGTCCTACTACGTGGATGCTTCTAACAACAACGTTCCACAAATTAGATAATATGCATAATGCGTACTACACTAACACCTGAACCTTGGAATTACCTTGGCATACATATTCCTAATCTCCTAATAACTCAGTAATTTTAATAATATTTTAAATACTTTAATATTTTGAAATATAATCAACATACAGTAAAACTTGGTTATAACGTCATCAAAGGGACCTAAAAATAGTGTCGTTATAAACGAATGTCTTTGTAACCGAAATGGGCACTTCCACAGTAGCCTTATGTTAGGCACGTAAAAATCTACCGAAAACCGAGTTAAAATGTTCCATTTTTTAGTGAAATACATAGTTAAGTACAGACTAACGTAACATTAACGTGGAATTGCCCAAATGTGTAATATCAAAGACATATTACAGCGCTTTTCACTGACAATACACACCGCACTAATACTGTATATTAAAGGTAGGCCTACTCACCAAATTACAGTAGATTACATCAATTGTTGTGCCTTACTGTACCTAGATACGAGTACAGTAATCAGTTATCTTCATCTGTTTCCTGTTACTTGCCCAATACACTCTTTCTAAATTACGTTCA